CGGCGTCGCTGGCCTGGGCGGTGAGGTCGTGGATGGTGGACTCGAGCTGGGCGATTTTCTGGCGCGCGAGGGCGAGGTCTGCGTCTGCGGGGGGCGGGGGGGCCGCGAGGCCGCACCCCGGGCAGCAGGTTGTTGGTGGCGGCGCGGCGGGCGTGCTGGCTGTGGCCGTCATGATGGGGGCTTTTTGGTGTTGAGGTTGTCGTCGGTGGTGGGAGAGATGAGTCGGCGGGTTTTATGGCTGGGGAACAGAGGATGAAGGGAATTGAGTTGCTGGTAATGGGGAGAAGGGAGAGACGAAAAAGTTGTCTCGCAACGCTTGGGATACTCGCGTCTTCATTCCTCGGCGGGATGGGGCAGTGCCTGTTGGTTGTGTTTTTTTTTTTTTTTTTTTTTTTTTTTCAATGTCCGACGTGCGTTGTGAACTTGCGAGTTTTGTCCCAGGTGAAGCGGGGCGTGCAGACGGCACCTGGGACGGCACAACGGGCTGGACCGTGTGGGCAGTGGACCGTGGACCGTGGACAGTGGAGTCTGGCTTGACAGGTTGACAGGCAACGTTCCGTGGTTCAACAATGTTTAATTTTTGACGGCTCGGAAATGATGGCTTGAGCGGATTTTGCCATGGGGTCGCGACTTCTTGGAGGAATGTATGCTGGGATGGGGGTAAATTGTCCAGGCAGGCTTCTTTTGCTAGTCAACAGTGGTCTTTTTCGCGCATTCACGCGCGCGGTCGAGGCCCGTGAACAGCATCTGCGGGACATTGCGATGTGCAAGGCGCTGATGAGGCTGTGGCCGCATCTTGGCCCCCACTTTGTGCTGACCTACCCTGTAGCTCTTTGACGTCAACTGTTCTCGTTGTCTTGAAGAAACCTTGTGAGGCTACGTTCTGCTCTACAACTTGAGATCAATTGATGGCATCAAGTTCAACGCTACAATGCATCATGAGCCATCACCAGCATGTAGCTCTTTCCGGGAGCTTGTACCACAGCACTTGTCACGTCAACAAAAGTTGGCCGTCTTTCATTAGTCGAGTATCGTTACGGTCATCAAGGTCCTCATACACGCCGTGGAAAATCACGACAAGGCAAGTTGCCAACCCCGTTGCTCAACAACATCCCTCCAATCCACCTTGTCCCTCCTCATGCCCCTTGCCCACTCCTCCCTCTGCTGCCAAACTTGTTCCAAAACCTCCCGGCAAGCATCTACATTACGGAACCGCCTCCATTTGTTCATGGTATACAGCCTGCTCCTAATGCGCTCCATGTGAGTGGCCTCCTCTGCCTCGCCGCCCGCCATGAAAAGAGGGAACAACAACGAGCACTCGGCCAACGAGCCCGCGGGCACCTTTTCGGCAATCTCGCACACTGAGTCGACGTATACCCGGACTCCCTCTGGCAATACGTCCGCCGCATGCTGCGGGAGGTACTTGCGCACCACACGATCGAGATGTATCAGCGCTGCGCTTCGATACGTCTCGCTGAGGGACGTGAGCGGCGTGTCGGTCGAGGGGGCCGGACACTGCCATTCTCGAAGGTCGCCGGCGATGCCGAGGGCACGCTGCAGGAGTGCGTCGTAGTTGGAATCCAAGGCGAGTCCAGACGTATTCGAGCCACCGCCCCCAAGCGACGCATTGTAGCATTCCGCACAATCTGCCCTCAAAACACTGATTTCAGACGTCAACAGCATGATCCTCGACGCAAAGGCAAAGTATGGATCTGCCATGGCATCGTCCGCCGACATCCAGTAATCACCAGTCATCAAGGGCCGCCTGTCCAGCGACACGCTCATGAGGATATCGTGATAGGCGAAATTCCTCACCAGCCACTTGCCCTCCACCGACCTCAACCAGTCCCCGCCCAAGACAGACGCCGATGTTCTCAGCGGACCGAGTTGCGTGTCCGAGCTCCCGGGCTGCAGTGCGGCGGCGGCCCCGGACAGGTGGTGCGCCCAGCTGCTGCTGGTTGCGTCCGAGATGGTCTCCATGGAGCACATGGCCATGGCCACGGCCAGGCACATTTCCCCGGACAGGCTGCCATCTCTCAGGGCGGCGCCCAGGTTCGCAAGCACCCGCCCGCGATGCAGCAGCGAGGTGTCGCGGAAACTGGGCTCGCGGAGGGCGAGGTGGGAGGATGCCCATGCCGCCATGGCATCAAGGAGGGTAGGGCAGTCGAATGCCATTGGCAACAGAACTGGACGATCCGCGAGTCAACCAACGAGTCATGGCACAAAAGCCCGGCATCGAACGAACCTGACAGGAAGCAGTTATTTTCAGCGGTGGCGGACAGCATGACGGCCAGAGTGGACGTGTAGTAGCGCATCATGGTCCTCCGGCTGGCGCTCAAGTCGCGACGACCCACGGCGTCGTCGGGACGCACGAGATCGAGCGGCTCGGGGATGCTCGCCAGGCTCAGGACCTCGGACACATGGTCGCTGTGCCAGGAGCAGCAGGGGCTGCCGGAGCCGCGGCGCGGATGGGCGGGCGGTGGTCTCGCGTCTTGCACGGCATCCTCGCCCCAGGAACTCGACAGTTGTCGGGGCTTTTCGCGCGCGCAGACGAGGTTGAGCCGCGAGCAGTGCCCGCAGACGGGCTGGCCCTGGTCGCACTTCTTCTTGCGCTGGCGACAAGTCAGACACCCGCGGCGCTGTCTCGTGTAGCCGCCCTTTTTGGATGTCTTGCGCTGTGTAACGTGTTGGACCGGCGGCACGGGAGCGGGTGCTGCTTCTGGCGAGACACCCAGCGCCGACATGTTGGCCGGGTCAGGCGGGCAGCGTCAATGGCGGCAAATGTGGGAGCGATTCAGTAAGTTGGGTTTTTATGGCGGTAGGCAACGAGAGTCTGGGGGGGAAAGGTGACGAGGGCAGAGCCGACAAGCAAAACGGCCCGGGGTGAGGTTTATGCACGGCGTCAATGGCGGCAAGAGACTGGTTATCAAGGCATGCCATTGGAGTGACGATAGGGATTGGGCGTCTATTGGCTGTCGAGTCATCTGCATGTGTGGGACCGTGGGGAAGAACCACGGCTCGGGGTTGGGGGAGCGGGTGGGGAGTGTGGGGACAGAATAAAGCACGTGGAATTGATGGGTGGAATTTATGCTGTTTTATAAAACAAGGCCATGTGTCTTGGGTACTTTATAGGTAGTGTTTATATACTCCTGTACTACGTATTATAGGCTTATAAAGTCTCTTGCGAGTCTAGTCGTGTCTGATATAGCCTTAACAATTACGTTTCCGTGGGATATATATAGATACTAATTTATTAATCTCTAAATTAAAATAAATTATTTTACACACCAAAGTAGTAGAATAGAATAAACGCCAAAATACAATGTTTCCAGATATCTTGGTCGTTCGTAATACTACGACTACAAATCTACAAACTGTATTTTATAATTTCTACTATCTAATTATATGTTATTCTATAAATAAAAACCGCGAACTTACACATCACCTGCCTACTCCGCCTCGCCCTCGTAAAAGCCCCCCCGCGGACCGGCAAACGTCTTGTGCAGCGTCAACGCCCGCGCGGCCGCCGTGACGACCTGGAGGGCGAAAACGACCGGCTTGTCTGCCGAACACGACGCTGAAGCGCTTCTTGAGGTGTCCACGCACGTCGGGGTTGGGCGTTTTCTGCCATGATGACATACACTCTTCCTTCTTTGTGCTCCGTGGGTATGTGTGTCTGGGGAAGAATCAAGGGTCGGGCCGTCATGGGACGGTTGGATCAGTCACCACCGTCTTGGAGTTCCCTGCGGAAACGAGAGGCGCGAACCATGCTTGTGGGGAACAGGAGTCTGGGGTTATGACAAACTCGGGGTGGAATCCACATCAGTTTTCGCGATATATCGGCGGAAAAAAAAATCAAGATACACATGGGCGTCGTGGCCTGTGCGTGGCTGCCGTATCGGGACGTCGGTGGTTGCCGGCCGTCTCCGCTGATCTCGGCCACCGTCGGCGTTGTGCATTCCCGCCGTTGACGCCGGGAGTGGAGAATATGGGGACATGCAACGCCAGAGTCCGGGGCTCGTGCCTTGCAGGTAGGTATATAAAGGGAGCCAACGGCAAACAAGGAAGAAGCGGCTCAAGATGGACGATTCCTGTCTCCCATTTCCCTTGCAAGCGTAGACAAGCGACGGTGAGCGAGCACCCTCTGGAACAATGAAGCCCGCGTCATGGCTTTCCCTCCTGGCCCTCGCCGGCTCCGCGGCACACGCCCACGGCGGCCACGACGACGACGACGACGGCAAGGAATGGACAAAGGAGGAGCTGGCTGAGCTCCAGGCGAAATGGGGCCACGAGGCACGAAGCCCGGACAAGAACTCGACGGGTGAAAAACTTGCTAACGCGCTGTCTAGTGGTCGTTCAGCGGCATCGGGTCGTTTGCCCACCTCGACTACGTCAAGTGCCTCACGAGCCCGCAGGAAAAGTACGACATTGCCATCATCGGCGCGCCCTTTGACACGGCCGTCTCCTTTCGCCCAGGCGCCCGGTTTGGTCCCCGGGCGATCCGGCAGGCCTCGTCGCGGCAGACGTCGCTGCGCGCATTCAACCCGCGCGCCAACGTCAACCCGTACCAGAACTGGGCCAGGATCATCGACTGCGGCGACATCCCCATCACGCCGCTCGACAATGCCATTGCGGCGGAGCAAATGACGCAGGCGTTTCGGCGGCTGGGCAGGGCGCGGCCGACGAGCGCCCTGAGCGCCGGCAAGCCCAGGCTCGTCACGCTCGGGGGCGACCACAGCATCGCGCTGCCGGCGCTGAGGGCCCTCAGGGAGATTTACGGCAGGCCCGTCCGCGTGCTTCACTTTGACGCGCACCTGGACACGTGGGACCCGGCCGCCTACCCGTCGGCATGGGGCTCGACGGACTTCACGCACGGCTCCATGTTCTGGATGGCCAACGTCGAGGGCCTGCTGTCCAACGCGTCGGCCGGGCCGTCTGTCCACGCGGGCCTGCGGACGCGGTTGACGGGCACCGACTGGGCGGACCACGAGGCCGACACGGCGCAGAACTGGGTGCGCTTCGCGGCCGACGACATTGACGAGGTGGGCACGCAGGGCATCGTCGACGGCATCATGGCCGTGCTGGGCACCGACGACCCCGTGTACCTGTCGGTGGATATTGACGTGCTGGACCCGGCGTTTGCCCCGGGCACGGGGACCCCGGAGCCGGGCGGCTGGACGACGAGGGAGCTCATCCGGATCCTGCGGGGCGTCGAGGGCCTGAATCTCGTGGGCGCCGACGTCGTCGAGGTGAGTCCCGCGTACCAGGGGCGCGGGGAGGAGACGGCGCTGGCGGCGGCGCAGGTCGTGTATGAGATTCTGAGCTCCATGGTGAAGAGGGGGTTGGAGGATGGCGACGGGGAGACGGCGGCCGGCGGCAAGGATGAGCTGTGAGATGTCGTGACTCGTGGTAGCTGTAGCTTATGCTCTGAATCTAGCCACAAGGCAGTGCCGCACAAGGAATCTGTGCATCGTCCAATCCGTACGCGGCACTGTCAACGTGCATGCTGCGTGTCTCGGATATCAATGATCACTTTCCTATTAGCCCGTCGGGTGTGCGACCCCTCGTTTGGGTTACCCATATACGAGCAGACCGCAAATGACTTTGCTACACTTAATCTTTACACTCTGTCACTTGCACTCTACCTCATATTGACTTGTAGGTTGTTACGAGCTGTATAAATTACGAGTAGCCAATGGACAGCCGACTGGGCAACTGCCGCAAGGTTCTAGTCAAGTCAAGGCAGGAGACGAAGGTGGCGAGTCATGACAAGACCTGGCAATACGTGAGCTATCATGCGGCTGCATTCTCATTTCTGTATTTCATGTCTCCATGCCAAAAAACGACCCTCGTTACACAGAGACATGTCACATTCTTGACAGCCATGAGCTACGCCGATCAACTGCCAACAGCGGGCCAGTTCAGAAGTGATTGTTGTTGCGGATGAGGGAGGAGTCAGGGCATGGTATGTCGATCTTAATACTCTGGGGTCTCTTTGAAGCCGAGAAGGGTCTTTTGGACGTGACAAGAGGCAACTGTGCACAGTCATGACATATCATTGATTGTCCAAGGTGACTTGTCACATAGAGCGAGAGCTGGTCGCCGTAGACTACTACATCTTCATCGACGATCAGCCGCGCGACGTGACTCGGGCATCTTGAGATCAAATCAGAAATGCATTTACCTCAGACTGCAATGACTCGTCTACGTCTGTATGCTTGTAGGCTTCTCTTACACAGTTCTTCGGTCACAAGTCCATGGTGTATTTTCAGGCCAATGGCAAAAAATGCCTCATAGATTCCTGTATGCCTGTGTCAAGCAGATTCAATAGCGAAATGACAACGATGGCTTGTCCATTTGCTGAATGTGCAGGGTTGAAATTCAGGCATCAAAGACAAAAAAAAAGGTATTAAAGGGGAAACCTCCCCCTCATTCTATGACTGTGTTGTAGCTCAGACGCACATCCAAGCTTCGCAAGACGGCCAAAGATTCAAAATATTCGTTTACCACCAAGTTACGACGCTCTTGTTACCATGGCCATGACCACTACATTCACTATTCAGGAGAATGCGGAAGACCTGCAATTTCTTGCCGGTAGCAATTACAACCTCCAGGTCGCAAAAGCTGTATCTTCTCCTGGTGGCAAGCCCACGTTCAACGTGGTTTACAAGTCGAAGAGCCTTGCACCAAACATTTCTGTTTCGTGGTCTCCAACGTATGGCCTCAACTGGTCCAGGAAGAGGGCAAATCCTGGCGCCAAGGTGCTCTACGCCGGAAATTGGCAAGCGTGTGACCTTGGTCAATCCTATGATTTGACAAAAGTTGGTGAATGGGTCATCAACAATAACGACACCAACAGGGACCCGAATTCTGTAAATGTGGGAAACAACGGCTACCCCGAAGCGGTGAATATCGTCGTGGGAATTCTGAATCCAGAGACGCAGAAATGGGAAGCAGTATGCCGCCAGACCTCACTTCCCATCTGACCAGGCACTACTGCCATGATCCATGGAGCTTGGCTAACCGTGAGATAGATCTTCGTCAGCGAAGACCAGTTGCCGCCACAGGGCTTCGGCGAATATCAGCCGAGAGAGGAAGTGGCACTGTGGTACCAGGAGGAGATTCGAACGGAAACAATGATGTCGCATCAATCTACCAAGGTTGAAAAATTCGACATGACAGGCAAGGCTCTGCAGTATTTCTGGTATAGAGCTGTCTCGGGAGAGTGGGAGAACTCGCCCACCTCGTTCCCATTTGATGCATAAAGTTGGATCCCTAGGGCTGATTTGGTCTTTTCGGCTTGCTGGATTCTCCAGTGATTTCCTGTTCAACTGGTGGTATCACAGCAAATCGGAACACCTTGCTTCCTGTCAACACACTGCCTTTCACGTCACTCGTTTACCCGTATCGGGCACATTCACTTTCGTGTTATTTCAAGATACGCTCGTTTTCAGACCGTAGCTAGCGCCATGTTGGCGAGCCACTCACTCAACATGGTTCAATATATTGAATGAATTAACCATTGACATTAAATTCGCGTCTAGAGGCCCCCCGTGTCCGTCTCTTTTAGTATTCGGTCGATTACCCCGTTTCGTTTCGTTTATTCACCTCTTTCGAGGCTCTTGGGTGGACGAGCTATGCCTCGATGCTCATATGTGAACTTGAGGAGACTGGGCATGTGTTACTGTTGACAAACCCTGTGACAGAACGTGATACGCAGAGATTTTGCTGCGCATAACCTTGGCATGTTGCGGCACCTACAAGGACAGACGGACTTCTTTCCAAGTCTCAAGCCCCGAGGTAGATCTGTTGGTGGGCGTTTCTGAGCTCCTTTGAAATGTTGTCGAGTACATGGTAAGATGCCCGAGGAATAGGAAAAAAAACTTGTGTCTCCTTCTCTCCACAGCCGCATGAGAGGTTGCAAAAGCAGCCCCTGAACATCTGCCAGCTGTTTACCAGAGAAAAAAAAAGGCAGCTCGAGGAACCAGGTTTGTCGCCCACGAGCTTCGGATCATGTGGGAAGTTGCCCACGTTCCGTTGCAGCCACAACTAGCCCCAACTAAACTTTATCGCAAGGCATTGCTTTCAACTAGATTTTACTATTAGATAGTGAGCTAGAGCATCTCTGCAAATATACACACTTTACAGTCGTTTCGAGTAATTTCACGTGAAGCCATGCAGCCGAGCGTGGGACAACATTGACGAACATGAACTGTGGGATAAAGTTAAGGGTTTTCAGTCTGACCGAGGGGTAGGGAAGCCTTCCCACGGACGGGAGTAAAAGCACCTAGATGGGCGATTTCACCCTTTTCTAGAAGAACAATCTAATTGGCATGCCGGAGATATTCAACTATTGTTGCATCATCAGTCTCCACCATCGTTATCGCTAGTAGACGAGAGTTTCAGAAACATGTGTGTGTGACAAGAATCGCAGTCGTGCGTGACCGACGCAAAAGACTATTTGGACCAAATACGTGGCCCCAACCTTGATGTCGAGTGTTACCGGCTAGACCTGACAAGACATCATCCGCCACAAGAACCTGCTTTCTGGTCTACACTGCACGTGCTAACGCCTGGATCATGTCTTGTTAATGTGTGTCTCGGAACGGCGCAAGGGTGCACATGTGAAACCTACAACACGCTGATTTTACACGCCACGGAGGGTCAAGGCGTTGGAATTGTCACCTAAGGAGAGTTGTTGAAATTCGCTGGTCAAGGCACAAGACTCCAAATAGTCACCTTGACCACAATTGGCAATTTCCCCGCGCCCGTGTTCTTTTTATATATATACATACATGTATCTCTGCTCCTTGGGAATGTTTGTCTAGGTTCGGTGAGGGGGCCAAGCCCAGTGTTTGCAGTGGTAAACGCATGCGAGGCGTCGGATCTTCGAGCAACAGTCCCCGTCGTAGTACTAAGTCTAGCCTTTCGACTGTTGGTTCAGTACCTTTGACTGCCAAGATAAAGGATAGCCAACAGACTTTGGGCTCAAGTGCTGTCGTTTTACTCCCCGTCTACTAATACTAGTAAGGGGTTGAGTACAAATAAGCTGAGACGGTCTGCCAGAGATGCAGTAAACCCTAGGCCCCCAACAGCGCATTCCGCCCTCGGGTTTTTGTATAATAATACGTGAAATTACATGATGTTTTTAATTTAAAGCATTTATTAAGTTTTTACACTTACAAGGTTCTATTCTTCTTCATATATATGGTCATACAAGCGTGACATCGGCCAGGGAACCGCGGTTCGCAACAGACCACGCAATGCACCATGTTATAATGAGATGGATTCGCATCATCCAATACCAAGGTGCCCTGCGTGCGCGTGACAAGTTTCTCCAAGTCCCGATGCCCCCGTCCCCTTCGTACAGAAGCTTTTGCACAAACACATTCAGCAGCTTTGTCCATCTCTGTTGGCTCCCCGCCAACGCAGTCTGGGAGACAGGTTTTGGGGCGACACTACAGTTGTGATGAGCACTTCACCAACCATGGACAAGGGTAGCCTCGAAATCCTCCCAACCCCGCACAAAAATGGGAGACCCTCGGGGCAGACCGGACTGAGACGATTCCTTTCATCCCCATGTGTGTCTATTTCTACCACGTAGGCTGTCCTGCCGGCACCAAGGCTTCTGTCCGTCAGACCAGACCAGCTGGTATGCCAAACTCGATACGTAGCCATCGGCCATCAGCAGGGGTTCCCAGAGACGTGACATGCCGCATTCACGTTTTGCTCTTGCTGCATTCCCGTCTACTGCCACGCCTTCATAATAACCCGGTGCTGCCGGCCGCTACTCCATGATGCCTTCGCTCTTGCCATCCTCCGATGTGCCACTCGCAACGGCCTCTTTCACCCTGGACGCTCGCCTCCGTGCGTCCACGTACATCATAAACTCGGAATACGTCCTCGGCATAACCTTGACGTCGGTATCAACGAGAAACGTATAGTTGAACTGCCCAGTAGGTTTAGTCTCTCCATGCTCGACATTTCTCACTTTACTGTCCACGCGGACTTGAACACGCGTCTGACGCGGCGCCTCGCCGGGCCCTGCATCGTCGGCGCCGTGGCTAACCAGCGGCGGATCCGTATACACCACCGTAGCCGTCAGATACAGCACACTACCGACGGGCACGGGATTCTGAAACGTCGACGGGTCAAGCGACACAAACCTGGGTCTCGTGTGGGTGAAACTGGCGGCGCAGCAAAACGCCAGCTCAAACGTCTGCTTGAGGAGGAACCCGCCAAAGATCATGAACTGGTGGCGATTTCTATACTGGGGCTGCATGATGGCCGCCGTGTTGAGCCTCGTCGTGTCCATGAAGAAGACGTTGTCGGGCTTGCGCAGCGCGTCGTTGGGATCATGGTACCGCAGCTGCCGCTGCCACATGGCGTGGATGAGGTCGCTCTCCTCGTCGTTGGGCGCCGTCTTCAACAGAGACTGCTGCGAGCGCTGCTTGCGGATCTTGCTGTTCCTCTCGCCGCGCGCAAAGATGCGCTTCTCCTCTTCTGTGTCGGTGCGGACTGGTGCGATCTTGACGGGCCTCTTGGTGGCTGGGTCCGTGGCCACCATGGTGCACTGGCAGGTGATCATGACGTGTTCCTGCTTGACCTCTTGCCCGTCCTTGGGGGCCTTGGCGACCTGGAGGCTGATTTCCATGCTGGAGCCGCCTGCGGCATAGGTGACCTGGCCGCTGAGCTCGAGGTCGCAGATCTCTGTGAGGGGGTGGTTGATGGTGATGCGGTCAAAGGCGGCGGTGACGGTGCTGACGCCTTCGCCGGTGTGCTTGTAGGCAATGACGCCGGACAGGGCGTCCAGGTCCATGAAGATGGTGCCGAGACGGATGTGGCCGGTGGCGTTGAGGTATGTGTCGAGCAGAGACGGCTCTTGGGCGAGAGGAAGGATCTGGCACATTAGAGTCTAGAGTCTAGACATTGGTACGCTCGACGCGGCACTTACGACGCTATGGTAGCTGTCTGACATTTTCTTTGGCGTCAGATCAGGTTGCGCCGGGGCGGGAGGCTCGCGTTGGCTCTTGTTGGCCGTTTCGTGCTGCTGCTTGCGAAATGCCTCAATCCAGGGCACCTGCATCCTTTGCTCCGTCAATGCCCGAAACACACCGTCTGTCTGGCGATGAGGTGTGTTGCAGAGCTGACGCTGCTGAACCAGGCGACATGGCGAATGTCTTGCGCGTTGCTGTGCGCGCACGAGGCAGCGCATGGTTGCTGTTTTTGAAGCCATTGATTGCAAGTTGTCATGTGAAGTCTGGCCCGGTCACGCCGGGTGTGGTGATTATGCCGAGTACGGAGTAGATGCACCGTCGACGGTAGCCCCACATGCATCCGGGGGCTGCTTACCCTAGACCTGACATAAGGAATGTCAACTCTAGATGTCCGCCTTTGTGACATCCCATACATAAGTTTTTCAAATATTCGCCATGTGCCTGCGATAGCAATGCGGTGATTTTTCTCAGATTATTTATATGGCCATGATTCTGGCTTTTGATTTAGCCACATGGCCCGTGTGCTACGCCTTTCGTGAGGATGGAATAGTTTATTAAATTATAATCTTCTCTTTGTGAGATTGCTTATTGGGTTTGAGCATTGAGTTATTTAATGTTGGTTTCCAAGGCTATTGAGTGTCCCTAATAGTCTTCTCTGTATTATGGAAAATATGGGTCGTATCCATACTTGCAATTCATACTCACCTTCGCGGAATTGGGTTGAGCAACTCTTCTGCTCGGTCTATTGCCCCAGAGGCGCGGACCAAAAATAGATGGCCAAAGAGTATTGCATTGGGGTAACTGTAAAATGCAAAATACATATTTGCGTGACCATCCGAGTATTTCCGCTGGGTCAAACGTTGCAGCACTCTCCAGTTCATCAGGGGCTCGACATCTTGGCTCCATAGAACACGGTAGGAACCATACATCCCAGCGGAGCCATCTGGATCCAATCAACCAGACTTCTATCATAACGAATAACGCTCTCTTCAACACGTGGATAGTGGTGATGGTACGTATGATTAGCAAAACCTGCCCAACCCATAGCATTGTTGAAAGACTGATTGCGCCAAGTTCCAACAAGACACGCCCTCGTGCGTCTTTCAACTACTTGTCGGGAGAGAATTTATCCAATCAGACAACCCCCGTGGTGGAGTGTGATAGCCTGCGTCCACGGTGTTTTCGCCCAGGCCGCTACTTGTTCAACACCAGGGTGCCGCACAATTGTCCGCCTAACGCCAAGACGAAAAGAAAGTGGGAGCAACGGCTCGGAATTACATGCAAAATTACTGGGTGGTGAATTGACCGAGAAGAACCAATTTACACATACCGGGGGCTGGTCTGACGCCGAAAACTCCAGCCCTAGCGGAGGCCGGCATATAGAACACAACCCCTGCAAGCGTTGCAACAAGTGGCCTGACAAGGAATGCCAAGTATAATAGAGTTGCCGATAGAGTACAATATATATCGCAACAACTGTCCCCACTTGTGTGAGCCTGCAAATATCACAACCATCTGCAGGGGTCATCCCTACATGACCGAAGCTAACTACCAGTTGACGTCTAGTGCAAGCATAATAGCTTATTGTTATCGATTCTCTCATGATTAAAATACCATCACATGCTCTCGATGCTCTCCTTCAGCTGGGTTTGTCTCCTTCCCCCGCCATCTCCAGATATACAAGGCGGATATGGACCCTTGCTGTGTGTATTTCTCGGGTTTCCTAGTCGGGCTAATGCTGGATACGAAACTGCTAGGATGCCCAAGCACAAAGGGCGCAACCGCAGGAGCATGATGTAATTACTGCCCGTCAAATGACTTGATTCGGTTACCCCGTTCGTGGGACGGCCATTCTCCCCAACGGTCCTCGGTCTGGTGCCTGCAAGGCTCCGGGACATTGGAGCCCAATCACTGTTCAGCATTCATTCGGAACGGCGTCACCTTCCATCTCTAGCAAACGTGACAGACGCAATTACTAATCTGTTGTCTTGCGGTACTGTCGTACTCGTCATACGACTAGATATTTCCGCCCCCACCGGTGCCGGGAGGGATATAGCAGGGTATAAAGATCAGGGCAAGGTATAGTTCAGCCAAAGGAACAAAATTGCCGTAATAGGTTTCTCGGGAACAAGCCTCTTTTGCCTATAATAACAAGGGTCAAGAGTGAGCCGACCCACCAGGAATATTTTGTCAGTACCTTGTGTTATCCGGCTCGTCTCGGGATACAAGGACATACCTAGTTTCAACTCACCACCTTCGTCGACGTATCATATTCAACACTCCACCTTGGTAGCATGGGACCCTGGTTGCTAGGTTCAAATTGTGGTCAAAATTCTCCCTTGCGTTTTTGTTCTGTCGAGCAAATAGAGATGAAGCATGCCGGCGTCTTTTGTCAGGGATGCTAGTCATAAGACTATGTCCGGCTCTTGGGGCTGCAGGTCCACTATGTGTGATTTTGTCCCATAATTTAGGAGTTGTCTGGTTACATCAAGACGGTGGCTATGGCTTTTCAGACTTGCCTTTAGGGGCGTGCTTCTGATAGACCACCACGGTACCTATTAACAGTGGCCTGAAACTACCAGACTATCACGAATGCTGTCAGGAAATATAAAAACCGAGCTGCGTTCGCTTCTGCCACCAATCACTAAATGACATCGAAAATCTACCACTCTGACCATGCATCTCGCCGACTCCACGAGATACATTAATCAACATTTGTCCCAACGCATACAGGACCAAATCCCGGCATCAATATGCTTTTGAACCTCGTGCCAAGCGCTTTGAGTGCTCTATGTCTGGCGTCCACGGCCATTGCAGGAACAATTAGGCAGCGAGATAGTGGCCCCAGCCTAGGACATGCCCGAGATCTGTTTTTGAGGCGCATCCTCGCTGATTCACCCGAATACGGCAATTTCCGCAACCATGCACCGACAAATCATGACGAGCTCAAAGTTGGCATTATTGGTGGCGGTGTTGCCGGTCTATATGCAGCCATCCTTCTGGAGAGCCTCGACATCGACTATGAAATATTGGAGTCGAGTAAGCGGATTGGAGGGCGCGTATTCACCCATCGTTTTGACCAAAAGGCCTGGGAGGCTTCGAAGCCGGGACAACCTAATTATTATGATTACTACGTAAGCCTTCCAGTAAGCGTAGTTATCAGCCCTTCACTCACCGACCTTGCAGGACGCCGGGGCTATGAGATTTCCCGGTATGGATTGGATGAGCCGCATAATTGGAAACGCAAGCAACTCGCTCATTCCCTACATAAACTCGAGGCTCAAGCCAGGGGACCAGCCCGTGAAGCTGATACCGTACGTATTCCAAGCCAACAACACGTTCCGTCTATTTAACGATAGACTGGTGTACAACCAAGACACCCCCTCGGCACGAACCTTTGGCGTCCTGGGGTTTGAAGGCGGAACCATTCAAAACAATTCCTTTGCCGACACGTCCCCGGGCGCCGTATTTAGTGATGCTGTCAGCGACCTGGTTCACTCGCTGGAAGTCAATTTTGAGCACGGGTTCAAGAAATTGATGCAATATGACCAAATCTCCGTGCGGCAGTATCTGGCCACCAAGGGCTACTCTTCTCAGCAGATCGACTGGATTGAGACGGTCAACGACGCCACCACCCACTACAACACCATGTCGCTGTCGGAAGCCGTCATCGAAGAGTGGATTTTTAGCGAAGCTCCCCTCGACAGCTGGTTTTGCGTTGAAGGCGGCATGGACCGCATCACCCGCGGAATGGCCAGCATCATCAACAAGACAGTCGAGACTGGCAAACGCGTCACGGCCATCAAGAAAGCCGGTACTGACGCCTTGAACGTGGTCATCAATGACACTGAGACAAGGACCTACAGCCACGTTATCAACACAGTGCCTCTTGGTGCCATGCAAGTCATGGATATGACGGATCTCAATCTCGATTACCGCAAGAAGCTCGCCATTCGAAAGATTCAATACGACGCCTCCGACAAACTAAGCATCAAATTCAAGAATAGATGGTTCGCCCCCTAGATACCCGACACTCACCGCCAGCTCAGCTAACTGCTCTTCCAGGTGGGAACATCTCGACTCGGGCTCGTTCCAAGGCGGACAGTCGTTCTCAGACCTCCCTATTCGCCGTTGCGTATATCCCTCCTACGGTATCAACACCCCCGACGCGCCGGGAACCATGATCGCCTCGTATACATGGGCCCAGGATAGTGCTCGTCTGGGCGCCTACTGCTCCGGCGACGCGAAGCAGAACCTTGTCGACGTCGCCCTGCGCAACCTAGCGGCCATGCACAACGTGACGTACGACTATCTCAAATCGCAGTACGTCGACTCGCACCACTGGAACTGGTACCTGGATGAAAACGCCGTGGGCGCGTTCGCCCTCTTTGGCCCTGGGGATCTCAGCACAACCATGCCGGATTTGATGCAGCCGGGGGCGCATGGAAGACTGCACTTTGCTGGTGACGCGCTGAGTTCGGGGCATGCTTGGATTATTGGAGCCGTCAACTCGGCGTATAGGACTGTCGCTGAGGTTTTGGCAGTTGAGAAGATGGATGGCAAGTTGGCTGAGCTGGTGGACAGGTGGGGGGTGATTGAGGAGATTGATATCAGATGGTACGCGAACGGTACTATGAGCAAGTAAATCGACTGCGAAGCTGCTCGAAGAGAGTATTGAAGTTGAATTGCTACCTGTTGGTAGTAACCGAGCGGTTTGGATACTTTGTTAGCTGTAGAGTGTAAGAGACGCTTTGTGTAAAACTGATTGTATATATAACTTACATACATTGAAAGAAGCTGAGCTTGAAGGAATCCACAAGCTAAACTTGTATTGGGAAAACGGCAAGAGAGTGCGGAGATCCTGTACTCAGGCATTCCCACTCGCCTGTTCCCCTGATGTTACACGGTTGGCTCACAACAAAGGGCGTTGGGCCAACAAAGAGTACGCAACAAAGGCAAAAGCTCACGAGGCACAAGTCGGTCTTACGCAAGGGTCGCCTCAGGCACATGTCCTCACTGATTTCTTGTATTTTTAGGGACCTCCCGTCTCTTAGGTGGTCGTGAAAAATCAAGGACTTTGATATCCTAAAGGCGATTACTATAATCTGAATGGAACACTACCTTCCAAGCCCAGTTATCCTGCCCTTGTCACGCCCAAGAATGCATCACCCGCCCCGTTGACTAAGCAATAACAACAGTCACAATGGATCACCTGCATAAGACTTGACCAATGCTGTCTCACACAGGCCAAGTTGTGACACTGCACCTCGGTTTGAGACTGTCAGGCATTTGCCTTTCATGCTACTGCTGCAACAAATCCGGGCAATTTGCACAGCGGAAAAAGGCGACATTTCAGGAGGATTTTCAGGGCCTCTGTTACGCGGTCGAAACTCAACAAAGGCGTCTGGGCCAACATCGGATACACAACAACAAAGGGAATGATCACGAGGTCCAGGGCCGCACCCTGAGCGAGGGCTGCCTCAGGCACTAGCCCTCATCGACTTTTTGTATTTATAGAGGTCGCTGACCCCTCAAGGCCTCGTGGAAAACCAAGGATCTTGGATACCCCAAAGTCGATTATTATGCATTGAATGGAACACCTTGTTCCAAGCCCAGTCACCTGCCCTGGTCACAACTTCGATACCCCGTAAGTATATTGATGATTGACCTTGACTGATGAAAAATCCTGCAGAGTAGGCCCTCGATCCGGGTCGATGTTTGGGCCCTGAGAACAAAGCGGCCGTGACCAGCAGCCTTCAATCTTCCCTAATCACCTATTCGACTCAACGGCTACAAGACAACCTCGGTCCTGCTGTGCGTTTGGATACATGCGAGGTGACCGTGTACGGAGTGGGAGGCTGGTGAGTACGTGATACGCAATTAAACTACTTAAATGCAGCATTATGTGACATGTACAGAAACAAAAAAAAAAAAAAGAAAGACACGAGACGTCGCGGCAGGAGCCATCTAGAAGCGCCAAGTCCCTTGTCCCGTTTCGCGATGGGTCACGACGGGTGTCAAGACGGATTGTTAAGCAACGGTGTGAAAGCGTACAGCAAGAGCGGGCCTTGGCCGATTATGACAAAATATTTCACTCGCAAGTCAGTTCGTTTGGTTGACTTGGCTCGTGACAGGGGGTCAAGTTACTCGTGCATGGCCCCTTTACACATAACTGCCGTCAGCCTTCACATGTGTAATATTGTATAAGTGGCACTCTGGAAAATTCCCCCAATTTTTTTTATTCATTTTCTCCTCTTATCTATTTCCAAAATTTCTGCCATAATCCATTCCCATCCAGCTTTGTATCTTGTTTCGATGATCCAGTATAGTGTAGACCCATGTCGCCGATTCATCTGCCAGTCGTGCAGAAGGGGCAGCACGATCTATCATGCCTCCCGAGGTAATGTGAACTGGTATTGTACACAGCCTTTATCGTCCAGCCCGTCGATCATTTCAAAACGATAATGATGTATAACAGTGCGTACAATAGCATCATACTCCCTAGGCTCGAAGCCAGGGTCGATGTGCCCAATAAACCTGAATCGCGTAGCAAATTGGGCTCCAGAGGTCTCAGTCTTAGTTTCATAGCCGGGCAAATTTAAAATCACGTGTTGCAGCATATTGGACATTGGTTCGCAAGTTTCCTTCCGCGAGGAGTAGTATACCACGAAATCGTACTGGGTCAGCCGACTGTCGCCCTCATTGGGCCTCGCTCCCTGTTGAACCTGTAATCCGGCATATTAGCACTGTAGCTGTCATGATTACACCATTCCAAAGACATCGCTACTCTGGCTTCTCCCCCGAGGCAGGACGATTTGCCTCGACGGCATTCCCCCCTCTTGGTCTGAAGCAGACATAGTAGTCTTGGCCCTGTTTCATATTAAACTTACAAAAGATAGTTGGAATGACATGATGTTTGAAAAAGGAGAACTGTCTAGTAGACGTGTGTGTGGCAGCTTCTTGCAGTCAAAAGGAGCAACAAGTATTCGGTAGACGTGTACGTGATAATGCCCTTGCGGCTGAATGAAGCAAGATGTGGTTGAGATGTCTTTGCAATCGAAAGGCCGAAGACGTATTTTGTCGACGTGGATGTGACAACGTCCTGGTAGTTGAGAGAAGCAAGACGTGTATGCGAAAATGTGTTTGCGGCCGAAGCAAGCAAGAAGTACTTGGTAGAAGTGTGTAGTAGATGTTGCTGGTGAAGGCTGAGCTGGTTAGCCATCTGTCGTGGGAGATGGCCATGTTTAAATACCTACGGCCCGCGGCCCTAATGTACAGTGCCATCATCCTCATCAGCTTTGATAAGACAGTCCGTCAGATGTTTTATTCATCCATTAATCGGTGTAACTGTACATATGTAGGTGAAAATTGACGACCTGTATGTTGTGGTAGCTGTGCAGTCACCCGACACTGGCCCGCGCGTGAGGCACTCCCGTCGACGAGTCTCGGCAATGACTGTCTTCAAGGATGTCCATCAATACAGCAAGAGAACACTCTTTCAATAACGAGAAAACATGCGAAAGAGTGGAGGGATGACACCTTCTCTCACAAGCTTTGGTTACACATGCTCTTTAACCAACAGCATTTCTCTACATCACAAAGACCTGACACATGGTTTGAGGCGACAATTCACTGCCAGGCACGCGTATGTTTCGTAAGTGTGTAGACACGATAAGCTGAGTGCATCCTGTCATATCCTTCGGTGCTCCGTGACATGTCAATAGTCGTTTTTTCTGTCAAAGGTCATGTTGCCCGTAGTGCTGTGTACGGCAGTCACAAAGCCGAACAACATGTTCACACTCTCAAAACCACCTGAGCTTGGTGGTGTCCTCAAAAGTCCGCGTATCTTTGTTAATATTCATTCAAGTACCTGTGAAAATGTGGTCAGCTGTGAACTTGGTCATGGTAGAAGTAAGACTAATCATTGTTGTATAAGCTGGCCGCCTGGTCATGGTCTAGAACGAGAACTTGCTCCGGCTCGAACTTTCCGGCTAGAACAGGATGTGAACACCCATATAACTGCTCAGGAACATCAGGCTTTTCTTTGCCTTGGGCAACAGTGAAATAAATAGATGCGAAGAATGGGATCTGGAGCGGGTTTGCGTTTGAAACCGTCTTTGACTCGATCCACTCAAAACATTGCTTAAACACACAGTACTAGAACAAAGAAAGAATTTGTTTGTTTTATTTTCAGTGAAATAACCACCATCTTCAGCTTGTGCGCTTTCATGCACACTTGAGGTCTGAATGGCTAGGGATCCTGCTCAAAATACCTCTACCTGTTGGCCTGGGCGAAGCCTTGAATCGGCTGTGATGTTTGACGTGGTGTTTCGATAAATTACTAGTTAACCGTTTATTTCTCATCTGCACTGGTGCGCGGACATAAGTCTTAAACTCGTAAGCTCCCCACGTACTACAATACGTGTTTATCCGTATTTCTCTCGGCACGTCACGGTTTTCTAGTCGAGGTACGCCCAGGTACATGGCGTTTATTAAGTACAGCTGCAAAAACTAAAAAAAAAAAGATACTTGCAGGTGCCACTGGGATTTTATGCATGCAAAAGATTGGGAGATCGGGTTATAATAGTATTCAAAGCGTTACTTTTTATGGCTAGCTGGCTGCATCGTGGACGCTATTTTTTGGTGTTGCGCCGGCTTAGGTAAGCCCGCTCGCTGCCGCTTTTGGGACCCCCTTCGCTTGGCTAAAGCCAATCAAGATGCGTGTCTCGGATGCAAGACAGTCTTACAGGGGGTATAGCACGGAATTAAAATATAAGCTTAAAAAGACATCTCTGGAATATCCCCCAACATTTTTTTGTGTTTTCTCTTCATCTTCCACTCTCATCTATTTTTGTACTTTTTCTCGATTATCCACTCCAGTTCAAAGCCACCTCAATAATCCAGTTTGCAGGCTCTTCCTCTTTCCGCACTCCCTTATCTGCTTCACTTTCCTAGCCTTGCAGACTCCGTGTTCATCTCAAATTCCAAGCACCATATTTACACCGTGCTTACTTCCACCCAGCTTCTTAAATCCCATTGTCTCCATGATCCCCAAGAGAGTTTCGTGCTGCCTCGTGGCATCCTCCCGCGACTTCGGAGCGTTGGTCGTCATCTGGAATGTCGCCGAGTCATTGATGCTGAACACGCATTTGTAGCTCAATTCTGATCTTTCTATTTCACGTTCGATATATTCGACCATCCATTCGAGTGCGTATGTCGAGGTAATCGTAATAGTGAACTCGTCCAAATTGATAAGGTCAGACATCGTCTCTGTCTCTCTCCGTTTAACCTGTAACATAGAATATTAGCACTCTCACTGATACTATTACATAATTCCAAAGTCGACTGTACTCTTGCTGCTACCCCAGGCAGGAAGATTTGTCTTAACGCCCCCCTCTTTATCTACTGCAGACATAAAAGTCTCAGCCCTTGTTCGTATTACACTTACCACAAGATGCTTCGTTGGTTTGATGACTTGGTAGTTGAGAGAGACAAGAAGTAGTTAGTGAACGCGTGTATGATAATGTCCAGCTGGACAGAGTCGGAAGAACTTAGTAGAGGTGTTTGGGAGATATGTTGTTAAACAAGAGATGATGGTTTTCCAGGTAGCTATGCCATCTGTCGAGGTAGGATGGCCTTTATTAAATAGTCCGCTGTCGATGGCTGTGCAAGCATAATTAAGACACTCTGTGCAACAAGAAAATATGCAAACAAGTAAAACAAAGATAGATTTATCCTAATATTCACTGTCACATGCTTGTTTCACAGGCGCCAAGGGTAAGATCACCTCTGCCCATGATATCCCGACATACTGCGTGATACATGGTTAGTAATTGTTCACTGTCCAAGAATATTTTAGAATCTTCTCAGCAATTTCGCAGTGCACCGTGAATGCAGTCCGTGAATGGCAGCCCCAACCGATGTAACAAGGGCTTCGATTGAGGGCTTGTGAATAACTTCAATTCAATCCAATAATTGTATCTGGGCTCAAAAGGTACTTGAGAGAATCAATCTAAAACCCTGACCTAGGGCCCGTCAATATATATACATGATAATCCAGGCGTCTGTAACCTGACCCAGATGACTGAGGCATCTAGGTCATAGCTGCCTTAGGCCTTTGTTCTTGACCCCTGACCTAGCTTTGTGGCACCTTTGTCGGCGGTCACTGTGACAAGGGCAGTGTAACTGGATTTGGAACGTAGTGTCTGGTTCAATGAAGGCCATGATGATCGACCTGAGATTATTAAAAGTCCTTGGCTTTCTACGTGGCTTCAAGGGACAAATAGTCGTTATAAATATAACAAGTTCTAAGAACCTGTTTCCGGCCTCGTGACCGTCTGCTTTTGTTATTATGATATGTAACCTTTGTTGGCCCGACGCCCTTTGTTGTGTGCCAGCGGTCCTTGCAGTACATATTGAAATACATAAATTACTGCCAACCGTGTAGCAGTTACGATGAATTCTTTGTGCTGATGCAGCCGTGACCGCCCGCATCCTGCCCCTTGGACGTAATTCCGGCTTTGTGCTACCTTTCCGTATGACAACTGACGAACACGTCCCCTTTCAAACATTCTTGATCTTTCTGGCATCCAAAAATGGGCGGGATTTTTGTTTCAAAGATTTATTCAGCGACCTACGGCAATATGATTTGCTGTGAACTTGGTGTGCCAGAGGATACAATCACAAATCATGTGATGAAGATGAGTCCAAATATATGAGCCAAGGGTAACAAAAGTTCACTTTGCCTACTGCATATCTATTTTAAGACGAAAACTACACAAGTAGAAGTACCGTAATAAACTCGAGCCTGATATGCATCAAGGAGGCTAACTTGGTACTGCAAGCAACCGAACGGGCCATTTTTACATAGCTCGAAGAGCACCATGGTTGATTCACCGTGGCAGGTTAAAGGCATGTCACAACGCGTTGCAATGAGAAGCCCCTTGTATTCTGTAGACGAGGCAGGCATCATCGAGGCTTGTGAGTTATCTCCAAGTCTGGTATGGAAAGCTTTCTTTGTGAAACTTGAAACTTCATTCTTGGCCGTCTTGTCGGCAATACAGTGCCGATTATAATCTAATGTGTGAGCTCTGCAGTCCACACCATCCCGAATACTGAAATCGAGCCGTAATGAAACATGATATCCGAGAACAGACCTTGGACAGACGGGGGATATGGCGTCTTGTCACCATTTCACTGAAAGCCACGATTTTATCGTTCCAGAACCATGACAGCCGTCAAATAATAGATGAGCTCCCTTTGCCGCCCGGGTATTTCGTATTTCCGACTCCTCTCTACAGGCCCCTGAACCGAGATTTGTCTCAGCCACCGTATTTGGCTTCTCTCACTATAAGGCGCGGCTTACTCGACAACAGCACGATTGTTTGGCACAGCATTGACAAAATGAGACTGATGATTTCCTACATCAAGAGTAGATATTGTAATACTGCTACCTGCAAGCAAGCACAGGTATAACAATTGTTATTTGTCTTAAACGACGTAATCGTGGCAAATACACTCCCTAGCAAAAATAGCAACGCCTTTGCATTCGCATTCCAGTACAGGGAAAAAACCCAACAAGACATGATTGTTCTGGAGGGGGTAAAAAACCTGTACAAAGGCGTCGCGAGGACCACATTCCATGGCTTAAAAGCATTTCATGGACTGAGCCCTGTGGGGAATATCCAGACAGGTTGGTTGAACCACGGTCAATTCTGCCTGGCAGTTCTGATGCCTGCGCGATATTAATACAGCGAATACCAAGCGTCCAGGGAATGTACCTACGCATAGAATTTACAATGGCTTGAGAGAAATCGAATCGAATGGGGATTTCCTGGCCTATAAACCTGTGTTAAAGGGCATGTTTTTTTTTGCAAAGGTTTCCGAAGGCTTACATGTGTGGTGAAAGATTTCTGCAGCGATCGTCGTTGATGGCCACCAGTGGTGGTCCCTGACAATGTCGCTGGCGATAGATGATTGCCTGCGTGATGTGAGACCACGAATGCCATTGTTGGCGAGGCCGAGAGAACCTACCTTTGGCGACGTAGCGAAGTCGTCTTCAAAGTTGTCGTACTGGACCTCGTTGTAGAAACCGTCGTCGTACTGGGCAATAGCGCCGATAGCAGCAGATGCAAGAAGGAGCAAGTTTTTGAGATACATGATGATTATTGTTTTGCTTTAGAGCTTACGATTAGTATAGCAGTGAGAGAAATTAGAATTAATAGTGCAGATTCTACAAGATGTTACAAGCCAGAATTGGGAGATGAAGCAGGTATTTATACCTTTAAAGTCTCCCAACTGCAAGCGCCCAATAGCTTTCGTTTGATGGGGCGGCATGCATTATGGCTGGCATGTAAATTGCCAGATACCGCGTAGTGACTGGGTGCAAGTAGAGTAGGCTCGGCTACAAGTTGCAGCATACCTTCAATGCATGAGACTTTGGAAAAATCATCAAGATGCCAGGAATTGTAAGAATAATTTAATTGGTTACCTCCTGAGTTGGCGGGATAACTTAAAGTCTACTCACACAAGTCTCCAGATGAAACCTAATCCAACTGTAATTTTATGATTAACATTCCGAGTTGCCGGTTGGCTTGAACACTGTAAAGGACCATATGAACTCGAATCTATATGCTGTAGCCTTTTTGACTTCATCATGGTTTAGGTTTACAAAAGTTTTCTGCGGCGTGTTACACTCCGCGCTCCAAGGCTTAGTATTATGGGGCCAACATAAAGATGCCCCAAGGTTAAATCAAGCCATGCTGGGCATCTTGGTAAAACAATTTGACTGCCGACACGGGCTGTATTCGTGGCAAGGAGCTAAAAGCTTATCTTCCAGAGTGCCAAAAAAGTAGAGCAGCTGAGGCGGTAGATGGGCCATCTACAAGAAAAAAGCCCCTCTGCCTCTCCAGAAGAGTAATAGACAGCATTTTGCATTTCCCCTCACGGCTTGACTGCCGCCTCCTTCACGCGTTATCTCGACGCCCCGTTGCAAACCTACGCATCTAACCGAAAGTATCATAGTTTTAGCCATGCAATTTTCGGCACCCGTTTGAGACATGAAAACACGAAATGGGACAAGGGGGAGACTGGCAGCGTCAAGACTATACTGAAACATTCATGCCATATTCCGTCAGTGGCGTTCCGCCAGGCCAGAGCTATCCGAGACATGTATGTGACTAGATACATACCAAACCAATAATTTTAGTATTGGAGAACAAGCTTCGGTGAATGTTTCAGACACGGCATGAACCAAGAAAAGCCGTCCTGTCTGTTTTGGATGAAACAGGACAGCCAGTCCCATTAAACCTCATCCCCGAGACGGAGACAACAGCGACATTTTGCTGAACCACCGCCAATTCATTTCGAGGCAACCACGATTGTGGAATGCGACTCCTGAGTTTTGTCACAAGGCTGTACGTAACAAATAGCCCTATACGTGTGAGATAATTGCAGCTAGACCAATGACGTAGACGGCTTTGTCGCACCGGGCGGATTAAATTTCCGCAAACAATCAACCTATTCGGTACGTACTCCACATTGTCGGGTCACAAAACATGCCTAGGTGTAAAGCAAGTCGAGTTTAAGTTGGGAGTTTCCGACGGAGCCGGGCATCGAAGCACGTATTCAGTGTACCTCGATCCATCTTATATGCTTTTACGTATATACGTACTGTTCGGCTCAGGAATGCATTTGTGGCAAAGGGCAAAACAATTGAGTTTAAGCACCCCCGACGAACCTTTTCCTGGGAAACAATTGAGTTGAGGCATTCCCGATGAACCTTTTCCTGGGAACCCTCACTAGGAACTAGTAATAACCCCGTAGTGTGACTTGGCCCAAAGCGAGCAGCCAACATCTGCATTTGCTGGCGTAGCTCAAATGGAATCTGAATCGCACAAGCCGTCTACTAGTGGCAACACCGCGATGTGCATCACACAACATGAAAGTCGGGATAACTGGATTGCGATTGGGTAGAAGCTGTCCCGTGAATAAAGCGACGGGAGTCTTAATTTCCTACATGGGGAGCGGGAAAATGTATTACAAAAGAAAGGCGTATAAGAAACAAATAAGTCAGGATACTGCCTCCCTGGCGAGTACCAGTATACCGTGCTTGCCTAGACTGAGCGACTCGAGATTTTGGGATGGCATTTGAAATGTCCATGCGATAAAATGCAACAAGGGCTTTGACTGTACGGCGTTGCAATTGCCTATATTGCGTATCACGCAATGAAGCTCTTATAAACGGTATATACCGTCCAACGCAACAACTGATTTAAGCTTAATACGATACTAGTATTTGCATTATCTAGCCTGTTTGGTGGAGCACGAATCTCATATAGCTACTAGTTATAGCTTTCTATTATTTCCTTTTTCCGCACCACTGACACCTATGCTACTTAAAAGATAAAAGGAGGCTCTCTCAAGTTAGTACAAGAATTTCAGCAAGCTTGTCGAGGAAGTAACTCACCCTTGACTTAACAACGTTCCACTTGTCACCGATGGGTGCGGCTAACCCGCTCCAAATCTCTCAGGTCAGAGTAGGACCTTGATCTTCACATTGCTTCCTACGCTCTGCTTCGTTAAGCCCAAGTATGCTGCGCTAGTTAATGATGTTTGATGGACTCAGACAGAAGGATGGAAATACGGGTGACACACCTTGCTTCCTCATGGAGAAGAATTTCAAAACAAAATACTGATCCATTCAGCCAATTGTACCGAGCAACTGTAGCAGTTTGTCTTGTCTCCGCCTGCGACAAGGGTTCACCATTGAAGGCTTGTAGCCAAGGGCTAGATTCAAAGATAATCGAGTAGGGTATCAAAGGCCCTTGGTTTTCCAAGAGGAAGAGAGGGACAAGTGACCATTACATATACAAGAAGGGAACAGCCGTGCCTAGGGCTTGTGCTCGGGCACGTGTTCAATCTGTGTAACCTCTAGGTCCATTATCGGTGAGGCCTGTTTGTTAGGCGTCGAAGTTGTCAATTGGGCCCTTTCCGTGTAACACGAATAAACAGCATAAAGGCGCAAACAAGCCTGCCAAGTCACATATGTATGCCCCCTTGTTTATGGGCGGCCAACAGCTCCGCAGCCAGAAAATTCTTTACCAGACATGACATCAGAGAGTTGCAACCCCAATATTGAATGGATAGCGAATTATGCACCATCTGTGGCGCACCCGCTGGGTTCTGCGCGAGATGCAAGTCGGCAGCATACTGCTCTCTCGAATGCCAGCACACCGACTGGGAAGTGCACCGCCTGCTATACAAGAAATATAGCCACAAAGCCGACGCCAACTTCCAATGTCGTCCGTCGCCGCGCCATCGCCTTGTCATCTTCTTTCCCATGAAGCCCAAAGACCCAACAAAACAGAGTTCTTCTGTAACGAAGCCAACGTTGCGTTGGATCGATACGAAAGTGGTCAAACGCCAACTTGCCGAATATTTTTATCCCGATCTTGGCAAGCTGCTTAGCATCGCTGAGTACAATGGCGTTATTAGGCCCCTACTGAAGCGTATCCGGGGCAACGCCCTTCGAGGAAGGGAGACGAACAAAGACACCATCGATATATGGCATCTAGATCCAGACATCATAAAGGGCGTAGTTGACAGCGAGTCCCTCCATGGTTCCCCGTCCCCTCTTGGCGATACTTGGGCAGAAACGGTATGGAAGGGCCCGATCGTTCTCACCATGAGAGAAGGAAACAGTTATGACCTTCCTCTCGTCAAGGACGTTGATCTCGTGGCATACCGAGACGCCCTCGACTTCCTGGGCTACTACCGAGTTGGTCAAGGAAGCGTGATTGACGACTTCGGCAAGAAGACAGTCTTTGCGCAGAAGATTCTGCAGCTGCGAGCCGGCAAGATGATGGGCTGGCGTCTCAACTGCGAAGCTGACCAAGTTGACAGGGGGGAACTCGCCGCGGTCCTGGTTTCCGTCCCGAGGGCACACCCGCTGGCCCTCCACGCCGATGATCCCCTTCAGATTCCCCAACTGTTGGATTTTCAGTGGATTGTAAAGCGTTACCCGCAAGGCAGCAGAGAACGCGGTTTGCCGCCGAGCCAACTGGAGAACCGCCTGGCCCGGCTGCTGTTGACACGAATTATGGTCAGGGATGAAAAGTGGACTAGGTGCCGAGACTGCTGGAAAGATCCGGCTATTGGATCGATGCTTCTTGTCGAGAGGTATCGTGGCGAGATTAAGCAGGATGTACTCATGGCTATTTGTAGGCTCATTGAGGAAAAGGTCCTGCCGCTAATGACGGATGAGCGAGCTGTGCAGCCAGGCGCGGCGGAGGAGCTGGCCGGTTTTATTATAAGAGAAGGGGAAAATCTACTAGCAGGAATACAGGCAGACGACATGAAAGTTGACAGTACTTGAGTGCGCTCTGCGTTCTCTTGCTTTTTCCCTTCCTCATCTGGCCCAACGACTGGAATAACATGCCCAGCTCGGGCGAAATGAACGGCCGTTTCAGAATACCCCTATTTTACTTGGTCTAATCTATAATGGGAATATAAAAAAACCTCGTTTATAAACATCACGGCAGTTTTTGTATTAAGCGAACAAGTCAATGTGTGAGAATCCCCATGTTTTACCCCCCCGGGGCCCCATTCACATTGTGCCATGGCATCGATTCACGGCCATTCACTGCAGACTCGGTCACGAACGAATAAAGCAGAGATTTTAATTGATATATAAACTCGACTCGCAACTAGTAGCCCCTGCGACTGTCAAGTATATACAATTTTAAATCACCCAAGTTCCGTTGGCAGTTGCGATCAGAGTGCTGATGGCTTCCGCGCCCCTCGACGTGTCTGGCAATACGGCTTTGCAAAGAATGTCCAGGTCCATGTCCTTGCTAGCATGTCCACGACTTGATAGCCATGCGTGGCTGCTCCATGCTCGTACTTAACCTTGCGTATTCTTCTTAACAAAGTCTGCCAAACAATCTCTGACATTGGGAATGTAATCGGCTGCACGCCCGTGGACCTCGCGGCTGCTGGGTTTTGCCTCGTCGATGCGATTTGCTATAAAGCCCTCGCTCTTGCTCTGGCCCAACTTCTCGAGAAAAGCGGGCATTCCGTCCTGAAGAATTTCCACCTTGACGCCGTCGTACGCGGGTGGCTCCTCTTCGAGGCTGTTGTTGTCGAGCTCGGCCTCGGCTCTCTTGGACTTGGACTCGGTGTCGGGGCGCGTCTCCATACAGCCCTCGGGCTCGGGCAAGTCGTCGCGATTATGCCATTTTCCGTCTCCGCCATCCGTGGAAGAAATATAAAAGCGATTAGGGGCATCCAGGACCACTTGCGCTCAAGGCTGCAGACTAGATCCCCCGCCTTGGAATTCACCCATTTACGTGCCTTGGGGACGCTGGTCACCTCAATCTTCTTGGCGTTGGGATCCGGGTACTTCTCAATAATGTTTGCGATGGCGCTGATGGGTGTTCCATGCTCGTCTCGCAGCGTGTACGAAAAGCTGCAGTTGTCCTGGTACCTGGGGATTACGCCCTCGGTTATGTGCATCTTGATGCCCTCCAAATCGGGGCCATATCCGGTCTGCCCAAGAATAAACTCGTAAAAATTGTTGGCAATCTTATCGGCGGGTGAACAAGACCGGAGAAGCCCAAGACTGTACAAGTTGCCCTTGCCTGTCTCACCCCTGCCGCACGTCTCATTGTAATAGGGCGTCAGGAAGCAGCTTCCTGTGATGGTCCTGATGTAAGTCCAGGTTACAACCCTGCAGATGCTCCATGCTGGACACGTATACGGCCTATCAACCTTGACTGAGACTTCCTCTTGTTTTGACAACTCAGCATTTTGGCCTTCTGTCATACGCTGATTACCATAAACGGTTGTCCCAAGAGACGCTGAGAAGGGGCCATAACCGACTGAAACTTCAGCTGTAACAGATTGGCCGGTCTCTTTAGATGACTCCTTATTCCATCCGAGCCGGTAACTATTGGTTTTAACCGTAGATGTACTGATTGTCATGGGCTCTTCATTCTCTCCGGTAACCACATCATCACCGTTGGGATGAGGGTTAACATCAAGAGACGATTGCCATCCCGTTTCTTTAATCGAGTTGCGCACAAATAGGCATTTGCGATCGAATTCCGGTATTTCCGCAGAATTTAACAAGTCAACTCCGCCTTTCGAAGCACTCATTTGGCCCTCTGAGAAAGGGAATACCTTGCCCAGATGGCTCATAGTGCTCTTCATATGAGCTTGAACTTTAGGAGAATCGCGGATAATTTCAGCCAAGTTGATGTCGCCGGTATTCTGCGTATTCTGCCGAGGAACAGCAGAACCGTACACGGCGGCAGACAAGGGCAGTGTTGCCCAGAGCATCGCGTTCACCACGGTCAACACCATAGTTTTCTCGGCCAAAAAAGGCGGTTGTACAAGTAACAAGAATTGTGAATCCCAAAGAATAAAATGAAAAGGAGAGTAGATTGGTCGGTTCTTGCTGGACACGGATTAAGTGTTGCCTTTTGGAAAGTTCAAGGGCGACAAGCTTGGATATAAATACTCGTCTGAGCTGATTTACACGTCTCGATTCTGATGCACCGACGAGCTGGTCTGCATAATGACCACGAGCGAGCGAGTAATTCCATGCATTGAGAAAAATGACACGCTTGTTTTCTTGGCGGTCCGCACTCCTGCGCCAGGCATAATTCTCGTCCCTGACCAATATTCCCATGAGCTGATGAGACGACATTGGCCTGTTATTTGGTGCGAGTAGCCTCGACTGATGGCCAATATTCACCATGACGCTTTTGACCCAACTACACGAGGAATACGAATCAGGCATTGATGAGCTGACCCGCGCGATAACAAGGAGAGGGTTTAGAGACGGCGATATTTGCGGACTTGACCATGCACTGGCCTTTGCTTTTTGTCAAAGGGCGTAAATGACATCAATGTCTTGGTGTTTTGGGATATTGAGTCATGTCATGAATTTCACCGTTGTCGAAAAAACCAGCTCACTCTCCAGCGGCCACGCGGCTACACCTCGTAGCGTCATTGAGCGCCTTCCCGCTTGTAGTCGGGAGCATTAATTAATTTTCAATAACCTTGCAGAAAGTGCCGAGATTCCCCAAAACCCCGGTTCGCAATGTTTCGCGCTAGCTAGGGCTGCCGAATTGCCGGGATATCTTGACGTTTTAGCGTGGGATAAGATTCAGACTCATAATTACTTCGACAGCCTCCAACTTGGAGTCACAGATAATCCCAATACCTGGAACGGAAGAAACTTAAAATCAGTCCATCCGGTGGCATTGATCACCTGCATGTTTTTAAAGAAGAGGCACCTGGGGCGTAAATTCCCACTCGTCTCGCTTGAATGGCGAGAACACATTTTCGTCGTCAAATGATAGAACCTTTTAGCTTATTTTATTGTATAATAACACCGAGCGGCCTTGAAAACAAAGACTCGAATTGATAAACATTCTCATGTTGAAAAAAAATGGCATTCATATTTTCTTGGTATTCCCCACAGCCAAGCATTGATATTGCCATGGGTTCATGCGAGGACGCCTGTCCTTTTATCAATTGGTCTTAATTAATATCCAATTTTCCCCACGTGCTAGCTGTATTTCTATTAATATTACCATCCAGGTACAGTCTCAGCCACGACTTGCATTCATGCTCTATGCGCCTACATCACGCCACTATCCCGGCTTTAAGACAACGTAGCAAGTCCCGAACAACTCGGCTGTAAAACTGCCGGTCGGTATTCCCGGCTGAGGATCATGTTCAGACGACAAAGAAGAATTAAGCTCTATTATGATGCGAGTACTTAAAGCCTTGTTTCCGCTGGTCCCATCTCTAAAATCAAATTACGGCCTTTAAGGTTCTGAGCTTTTTACAAGCAAGGAAAAAAAAATTCCACCTACTTTCATCTAAACATCTTTACAAGTACCTTGTCTATCCTTTTTTCTTTACGTTTTTTTTAAAGTCTTATACAACAACACTCCAAAGTCATGGAGTTGTATAAGACTACCAGTTTTCTATGGTACTACCTTACCATCCTCTTGGCCTTTTGCCAAGTTTTGGAAGCGCAGGCGCCAGCAGGACCAAAAAAAGAGAGAGTGCCGCTGCCAGCACTGCCAACTGATGAGCCGCTCCCCGCCAAGGACAGTCTTCAAATTAAGCTGGACCGTGACCTATATGCCAAGGGTTCAATGGTCTTCTCTAGTCATCTCAAATTTGAGAACCCGCAAACAATTACAGCCAGTCAGATGAAGAGAATCGCTGTAGATGCGTACGACGAGATGCGGAGCATGGCCAAGAAGAACGGTATTCCGGAGGGAGATATGCCACGTGTCATGACTACCCTTATTATTGACAATGAACTCATCTTTGCGTCCTCGGCAAAAGGCCCGCAAACGCCATATGGGAAAGAAAGCCAAGTACAAGCCGATTTAGACGCCTGCAGGGGACCTGGAGACAATCGTCACAAGCATAATGGAAGGTGTGGTGAGGTAATGGCCCTCCATGAATACTATCAGAGTCACGGTGTTACCAAAAGGTTAGAAAAAGAAAGCGGCGCTCGCATTGTCGCAATCGCAGGCACGAGAAACGCCAAGGGGCAGCTGGAAAAGGTTATTTACCCCCCCTGTGGTCACAAGGTATGCATCTCTTTAAAAAGTCAAGTACGCTCTCAAAACAATGTATTAACTGGACTACAGGATGATTGGGGTTGTGACAGACTAGTACAACAACTGGATGTATTGGATGATGCAAAGGTTGACAAGGACAAGGACACGCCAGCCTTTAGATACAAGAACATGATAAATAACCCTAAGCCCGAACTCAAGCCAGTGGATCCAACCAGCTTGTCCAAGGAGAAAGGGAAAGAAAAGCCGAAGCCTGGAGGCAGCAATGACGATGAGTTTGAGGAGCCGCCCAAATACGACGAGTCAACAGAAAAAGAAGGAAAAACGAGAAGGCCGCAACAACCCAACAGAAACAAAGGAAAGACGGGTACCCAAGATAACAAGCCATCCCAGCCCAAAGAGCAGGATGATGGCGGAGATTTTGAGGAGCCGCCCAAGTACGAAGAGCCAACATCAGATGACAGAAAGAAGGGGAAGACCTCTCAGAAAGATAGAAACAAATCCCAGACAAACGCACAGAAGAAGAAGACTGGAAACAGGCCTCGCCACTTCCAAGGGTAAATCGTCACGCTATATTTACCTTGTGTCTATCTGGCGTGCGTACCTGGAGTAGATGGATTTGAACTTGGACCTAGTCTCTAGCTTTTCTACTCGTTAAAGAATTCATTTACTCTAGACTAATCCCGTTATTTGAATCAGGGGTTGTGATGCGGGATTCCTTTAGTTTTCTGTGCCACTAGAACATCCATGTTGCGAGTCAAGACACGCGAGCTGTAATTGGCGGCTGAGCAGTTACTCGAGTCAAGCACGGCAAACTGTCACCTCGGACAAGACACGTCCTATCGCGTGTGTGCGGGCTTGGCCGCCAAACCAGGCGTCAACTCATGCCAACTACATACTTCATGCGTAACGTGTAGTTTGGGCTACCTGACCGCTGACTGCGGAAACAGTTGCCTCGATGCGCCATCGCCATCATGGGCCAACAGAACCGTTGGCTCTATTGAACGACCCCAACAGTCAGCGGGCAGCCTAGTAAGCGCTGGATTAATAACTGGGTTAGGAAAGATTAGCAAAGACCTGATATTTTGTTTATTTCTATTTTTCTTTTACTCAACTTGACGATTTTGTCATCTCATGCTTTAACAGTAGCGGTGTTACGTTTTGGCAGCGGGTGGTTGGATGGAACCGGTCATTAAACTACTGGAAGGAATATGTGTAGCGTTGGATACGTGAAAATAGAAGAGAGTCCCATTTGTTAAAGGGCTGTTTGAATAATTAGGATTCAATAGTTATTCGCCGCCCGGAACCCTGTGCCACACCATGTTACGTCGGCAAGAGAGCGGGTGTACACTCTAACCCTGAAGTTATTAACCACCCTCACCTGTTGTACGGCGATCCAACTATTGTAGGGCTGACGTATTATTACTAACTAGTTTACGACTATACCAGCAAGGATCCCGTCTCGGTCAATGTAGCTATCCGTCGGCTGAGACCGAGTCGCGCCGGTGTATGTTGCAACGTACCCTAACAGTTTTCAAATGCCTACATCTACCCCGTCAAGTCTGTCCACACGAACTCCATGATTGCAAGCGCAGACTCGTTAGATTCGTTGACCATGGAGAACTTGAACCTTGGGTCTGCCTCTGTAAACAGAGCTTTCCATTCATCTAGGTTTCTTTCGTGGGAAGCGAAGCCCGCGCCCATTAAGAGATCGAATGACCTACAGATGATGTAAGCATGGACAACAGAAAAGAACAATGAGATAGAATCATGGACCAGACTTACCTTAAATACCTTTCTCTCCAGTGTGAAATGGTACGCGGCTCCGGCATACATATCTCATTAATGATAATCTTGGTTCCCGGCGTCAACATCGGGATAAGACGTTTGAGAATTAGATGACAATATTTATCGGACCAGTTGTGCAAGATCCAGCGAAAGAAATAAACCTCTGCATGGATAGTTTGAGGTGCAAACATATCGTGCTTCATGTACTTGATCCTGTCCCCAACTTCATCTGGAATGTCGGGAGTGAAAATCTCCAAATCTTGTACAATAAAGGAGAGATGGGGAAAATGTTTAGCCAACTCTAGGCTGATGTGGCCTGGTCCTCCTCCAACATCGACAATTCGGACTTGGCCTGCAACAGACAAAATTAGTAGGACTGGTCTGCTTGAACAGTGACACTTTGTCAATCGACGCGAGGAGGAGTATACAGGAGTTTCAAATTGCATATTACAAAGGAAAAGAAAAGGCCCACCTAGAGATTTCCAGTCATAGTTGTTGACAACATGGGTTGAGTTGAACTCCTGCATCTCCATAAATGCCTTCATATTGTTCCCGAATCGAGCGGCTCGTTGAGGGTTTTGCTTCAGCACTTCATAAATACTCTCTCCAGTATTGTTTGAAAGGGCGAAGCCCTACAACTAATGTTAATAATGCATGGCCATCCAATCTTGCCAACGGCAAGCACGACGAGCCTACCGTATGGTTTGGTTCTTGTGACTCGGGCCACTTCTCTAAAGCTTCAACCATCTGCAGCAGAAAAGCCTCAATGTTAGCTTCTGATCATGGTTACGTATCACAATAGTAGTTGCTGTTTTTTTTTTTTTTTTTACCTTTACAGACGCAGTCCACATCTCCTCGGTTCCACAGAGCAGCCAGGCGTTGGCCACAGGATCCCTCAGTAGTTTGGACGCCTTCGTGTGAACCAAGACTCCCGGTTCTGGCTCATGAAATACTCGCATGGTTGTTGCATGCCTTAGTAACCTGCGCACGGTTCGTTCGCCTAGGCCGATCTCTTGGGCAATACTGGCGAACGTCGTTCGGCCGCCCAACGGTACCAGCTCAGCAATCTTGAATCGGGATATCGCCTGCAGTGATACCGAACTGTTGACCTTTGGACCAGGTATTAGTAAGATGGCCGCGACTCACTAACAAAAGGCTGGGTCTAGTGCACCCATTCGTGGTGATGGGAGCTGGTCAAGAGCTTACTGATCCATGCATGTACAGCATGTCGAAGGGACCTAGAAGGAGGTCTTGGATTTCGGCAGCACAATCAATAATGGAGTCTCTTATGCCAATTGCATCTTTTGGCAACAGTGTTGGCGCGTCTTGGTCAAAAGAAGGCAATGGACACGCCTGCATCGACAGCGTAGCCTCGAGCCTTGAAACAGAATTGAGGATTGATGCCGCAAGCTGAGTCAGACGGGAGACTGATGTGTTGTCGGACGACATGGTGGTTTTCGAGGAAGAAGCCGACCAGCTTAATTCGTAGATTCAAGACCCTGTAATGACAGCAATTTATACGGAATAAAAGGTAAACCACGTTATTCGAGGGAAAAAGGCCACCAAACTGTCACTCGATGCCGTTGGTGTTGCAAGGTAAAATGGGATGTGAGGGAAAACGTGGGTAAATGAGCGAGCGGTCAAACAGGCCGGGGTGAGATACAAGAATCCGCCCAAGCCGATCGATGGGCAAGGATAAGGCAGCATTGAAGGATAATTATGCTGCTCCATTCGTGTCAAGTACTCTATATGCAGACTTGCTGTCTTTCAAAGCCTGGCCGTTGGGCCGAGATTCGCATTGGGGGCCGCAGGTAGCACAACATGTCTGGTCAAGCGGTCTGGTATGTCGGCAGCTGTGCAAGCTATCAATTGCAACTTGACCCGTGGCTCTGAGGATACACATGTACCCATGATGCCGAATGCAGGCTGCATCCATTTCTTGGCTGGCCAAGGGCATCTGAGGGGGGGTGATGCAAACGTCGGCGCAAGGCGTCAATGTATCTAGCAACGAAGGATCTGCGTAATCTGCGTCCAAAGGCAATCAATTTTGGACAATTGGACGGGACCCGTTCCGGTGCCGCCCAGGCAGCAAAGTGGCATCATGACGCCGTCTGCTATTCGAGGGAAGAATCTAGGCTCTCAATATCTCCTCGCACTCGACAGGAACTGTTACACGGAAGAGCCTCGTAAGCCCCAGCCCTCTTCCAATATCCGGGATCCGCGGCGAAGCCACGGTACACAGAAGGGGTCGGTGAGCCAGGCAACAGGACCCAAGGCTCAACGACTTAGATGCCTCAGTCATCAGCTCAGTCATCTAGGCCAGGTTACACACACAAGAGACCTTATGTATATATACAGGAGGCCCTGCCCTCCTAGGAAGACAAGGAACCAAGGACCTTGAAGATCCAAAGATTGAGTATTGCTAGTCATGAAGCTGTTCATAAGTCCTCAACCGAGCCCTTTTAACAGGAACCATATCCCCAAATAAAGTCCAGCGCCTTTTCACCAAGTTCAACTAGCTGCCGAGATCCTTCTTTTCAAATGGATACTTGGAATTGTCTTCAGGATGTCCTCCGGGACAGAGCCGAGTCAGGATCTGTCCTCAGCTTCCCCTTGGGGGACGTTTCCGATCCGATTTGCATCTCTTATAAAGACCTCTACTTCCAAGCACGGCGTAACAGTGGCCAGATTCGGGGAATCCCAAGGTTCAAGGAGCGTCACCCAATCATGCTGCACTTGGATAATCATGCAGACATCATCACCTGGTTCTGGTCTGTCCTCTTTGCCAACGGCATACCCGTGATACTGGGCCCATCAATCCGCAGCAACAGTTCCATGCTGGACCTGGCAGTACTGTTGGAATACCCGATATGCATCACGACAAGTGACTTGACGGACATGTGGGATTCCGGCCACGGGATGTACCTGCATAGAGTCGAGACACCGCAGAAGACGGCGTCAAGGGCGATATCCTCTGCCGAACCAAACAGCCATGGGCAGTACCAGGGGGGCACTACAACGGCTATTTTGATGTTGACGTCCGGTAGCAGCGGAAGTCCCAAGGCTGTCATGTTGTCTCACCGTCAGATCCTTGCAGCCGTGGCCGGAAAAGCCGCAGTGCGGCCATTGGAAAGCCCTCGGCCATTTTTGAATTGGATAGGTCTTGATCACGTTGCAAGTCTGGTTGAAATCCATATCCAGGCTTTGTGGCTCGGCGTTGACCAAGTCCATGTGCATGCAAGCGACGTGGTTTCAGCACCAACAACATTCCTTTCACTTCTTCACCGCTACAAAGTGGCCAAAACCTTTGCGCCGAATTTCTTGTTAGCCAAGCTGCTCTCGGCTCTACAAGACGAGCAACAAGACAGGAATTGGGATCTCACAAATCTCACCATGCTCGCGTCCGGAGGTGAGGACACCGACACGAGCACGTGTGTCAATCTATCCTCGATTCTCCAAAGGTACAATGCCCCGGCGAATGTAATCACGGCTGGCTTTGGCATGACTGAGACGTGTGCCGGGGCCATCTTCAACCTCGATTGTCCCGAGTATGATGTCAAAAGAGGCCGAGCCGTGGTTTCCCTGGGCACCTGTATGGATGGCATTGAGATGCGTATTACAAATCCTGGACTAGACCGATCACAAGTTGCGGCACCCGACGAGCCTGGCGATCTCGAGGTCCGTGGCAGCGTGCTTTTCAGTGGCTATTATCGTGATGCGCGCGCCACTGCAGAATGCTTCACCCAGGACGGCTGGTTTCGTACGGGCGACCAGGCCAGCATCGACGCGCAGGGCCATCTCAGCCTCAAAGGTCGCGTCAAGGATCTTGTCAATATCAATGGCGCCAAATTTGCCATGGCGCCACTTCAGACGGCGCTTGATCAAGCTCTTTGCCATCAAGCTGCACGTCTTGTCGCATTTCCGTCCCGCGCAGCCCACACTGAGCAGGTGACAGTCGCATACATTCCTCGGAACTGGGACATGCCTGCCAAGGACGTCGTCGAGATCCAACATCTGGCCGTACAAACATGTCTGTTACGCGTTGGTGCCAGCCCAACCGTCTTCTCTCTTCGGCAGGAGTCCATTCCGCTTTTGCCAGTATCCTCGCTCGGCAAAATCTCGCGGACCAAGATGAGAACACTATACGAAGCAGGTGCTTTCTCCAAGGATGTTGATCTGCACTTCAGTCGAGTGGAGCAGTTTAGAAAACAAAGACAGAAAATGGACGATACAGAAGCCAACGATGCCGAAAAGCTTCTCATCCGCTGTCTCTTGGACCTCAAGTCCATCGACAGGGGCGCAATCGGCGTGAACACATCCATTTTCGAACTTGGATTCACTTCCGTTGACGTGATTCAACTCAAGATACGCATTGAAGAGGCACTAGGAGCTAGTGTCTCTGTGACTTCAATTCTGAGGCATCCTACACCATCTGCACTAGCCAAGGCCCTCTGCCCCGAGAGCGAGAAGGGCAGGTCGTTGGACACGCCGCTGAATTCCAGTTATGACCCCGTCGTCGCTTTCAACGCGGCTGGCAAAAAAACACCGCTATGGCTTGTCCATCCCGGGATTGGTGAAGTCCTCGTTTTCGTCGGGCTAGCTCAGCATATCGCCAGTGACGATCGACCGGTATACGCACTGCGCGCCAGAGGCCTTGACCCCGGCCAAGAACAGTTCGTATCCATTGATGAGGTGGTTGATGCGTACCTGGCGGCCCTTCGACAGCGACAGCCTCAAGGACCCTATGTGATGGCGGGATATAGCTACGGGACCATGATTGCCTTTGAAATGGCCAAGAAACTCGAAGCAACCGACGGACATGGCACAGTACAATTCCTTGGCTGTTTGAACTTGCCGCCGCACATCAAAACGCGCATGAGACAGCTCAACTGGCAAAATTGCCTGCTGCATTTGGCATACTTTCTCAGTTTAATAACCGAGGAGCAGGCTGAGCAAATCGAGGACATGAGCCAGGACGACGCCCTGGCATATGTATTTCGCCTCGCCGACGCGGATCGTATCAGGGAACTTGGCCTGGACAAGCCTGGATTAACTCGCTGGACCAACGTCGCACATAGCTTGCCAAGTATTGCTGTCAATTACGAGCCTGATGGTCAAGTTGACATGCTAGATATCTTCTATGCTACCCCGTTGAAATCCGTGGCCCCAGACCGAACGATATGGGTGAAGGAGCATTTGAGCAAGTGGCAGGACTTTTGCAGATCGAAGCCTCGGTTGCACGAAGTTGATGGTTCGCATTATACCATGATTGGACCGGATCATGTTGCTGCTTTTTCTGCCACATTTCTTTCTGCGCTGCATGCTAGGGGGGTTTAACGGGCTCAACCAGTTGGCTTGATTGCCTATTGAAAGAGTGCCACGAGCCAGCGACTCCAATGACGCCTCACAAAAGGTCTCGCCACGGCCCTACTGAGCCTGTTCAACATCAATGGAAGACTGAAAAAGGCTATCGTCACAAGCTACATTTGATGACCTAGTCATCTATCAAGATTATCTATGAAAAGCACCTATTCCACCTATCTAGATAGCCTCAATCAAGCGACTCTTCCACACTCAGTCTGCCTCATAACTGTGTTTTTCTTAAAAAGAAAACTGCGCCACAATGTAAAATCTAGGTGTCTTGTGTTCTCGTTGGGCTGTCCCTGCTCTCATTCAACTGCCTCGTGTTCGCTGGCCTATAATTCACACGCCACTTCCGATATATGCGAACATGACGAAAATAGCTGTAGCGGATAAAAGGAGAGAGCCATCTTGGCCAGCGGGCAGTTCTTCATGGGCACCTCGACCACCCTGACCTACTGCTTGTTTAACGATAATATGCTTGTGGCTATTTGACAGCAGTTGATCTCATGGCCAAGTTTGGGGACTGGGGGCTAGCAATATTGACGAGAGACAAGGCAGGGCTCACTTCCAATAGCGGATAACATCGCGGTTGAGAACTTCTGTTTCAATCCGGTCAAGTGCCATTCCGACATGAACATCACACATCATCTTACACCCAGGGGCCCGAATTGTGAAAGTTGCTTCCGGACATTACACGGCTCCCGGCAACATGGCGACGCTGTCAACTCCCGAGTTTCAATTCCAGATCCCAAGAATGCGGCGACGGTTTACAAACGCTGAGATCATTTTTGAGTTCGAATACGCCGATAAATAGCATGCCAGGACTCGCAGCGACCATAGGCCGGACCCAGTCGCGAGCAAGATGTTCCCGCACGGAGACTTGGCCCTCAGGAAAGGGACTGGCACTTTGTCCATCACCAAGACGTCGAAGTCAATAGGGGCTGAGAGAAGATGGTAGGTGGCAAGCTTGGATACACATGGGAGTGGAAGAAGGATGGAGCTCACGACCACTACACCAGTCTCTCGGGAACAGTGAGCAATCAGCACAAGGGGGGTTACGGCGAGGACAATGCAGCCATCTGGTGGCTGGACGAGGACCCAGGGACAAAGCAGGACATCCCCAGGCCATTGCGCGTCTTGCTGAGCGTCAACCCGGGGGGTCAACATGGTCACTGGCATGCTGACCTTGTGGGAACCGGCCAGAGTGAGGCGATTGACCCTGTCATAATTGACGCTGGGCTCAGATTGAACAGCGAGGATGACAGGACTAGTCTGACGGAAATGGGAAAGAGGGACTTGGCTAATTTTGTTCATGCCGCTTAAGTTACCTGGACGGACAGCGAATGAGAATACAGGTGGTCATTGTTCGTCGCATTAATAAATTGGTGTTGTGAAAAGGTAAAAATAAACAGACTCAAGTGGTGGCTACATGGCATGTACGTACTGGTCTGGGCGAGAGATGACAAGAATGGCAAAGATGACATCCTCGACCTGAAACGTCAAATGTGGCAGCACAATGGCACGGACAAGATCGGCTGCGACTTGGATAAAGTCTGGTGATTTTTCACTAGGACAGGGTCTCTTGACACGTACCATGACGGCTCCTAGTCCACGCCTATGCGAATCGCCGGATAGATTGGACTTGACACCACCTGTGACAAGGGCCTAGTATTTAGGGGCTTAGAACAATATTCGTATTCAGCTAATACTTTGCTTTGATATCAAAGGTCCTTGGTTTTCCTTGAGGCCCTAGGGGCGGAAGACCTTTATTTATATCAAGAGGCGGTGAGGCACCTTGCCCTAGGTCTCGTGATCAGAGCCCTTGTGTAACTATCGTCGGGTTCAAGGTTCGGCCCGTGCCTTCATGGCAACGTGTCATCCGTGTAACACCACCCTGCGCTGCTTGGCATCCCAATCCTTGGATCCTTCCACGACCAGAGCCGCGCTAAGCTTATATAATACAATGTCATTGGGTCAATCGCAATCTCTTTCTCAATACCGAAGACTGTTGGTATATCGTCAGCCTCTAACAGAGCGTAGCCCTTATTCTTTATATCCATCTCGTTAACTTTAAAGTGTACCTCTGATAGTAGAGTTTCTACGGCATATATGCTATCCTCCTCCCAGATATAATTATTAGTTATACTAAATTATTATAATAGGTTGGTTATGCTTTTATTGGTCCTATACCGCCGCTCTAGTAATGTGCGCAGATATAATACCTCCAGTAGGCTATTGTTTTTTATAAATTATATATGATCGTGCTAAGGATTTTGTGGGTTAAATGGAAGTATATTTGTCTTATAAATGTCTTGAGGGCTTATAGTGGGTATGCTGTGTATATTACTGGATATTGTGTACGTTGTCTAGATGGTGCCACATCGCCGCACGATCTGGGAAGACTGTTGGACATCTTTTATCAGGACATTTGATATATCCTGATATTATGTGTATAATGTAATGCACCTTAAAATATGTCTCTTTTATGCGCTTCGGTCCGTGTGCTGCTTTAGTCTCTCATCGGCTGGGAAATTAGTCTTCCAAATGCACACGGGGCAATATCCGGCGCAGGCTGTAGCATAGCGGAAGGTGACGGCGTATTGAATGAAATCCGAGTCCATTCGTCATACCACCACGCTTAGCCAGTGCTGTTAACTAACTACCCTATATGTTTAGGTATCTTATCTTATTTAACCTGCTATCTGGGGTTTATTCTGGGAATACTGGCTTGTCTAGCATATGATCTGCCCCAGGTGCTACTTAATTACGTATATATATGTAGTAGCTACTGTTCTTAGGTGGTCTGATTACAGGAATCTGATTAAGGGTATAATATCAAGCAAATGCCTGAGAGGACACGATATTAGCTAGCTAATATATAACTAGCTGGGCAACTAAAGGCGGATATAACCCATCAGGCGTATTTATCCTTTCTAGGAAAGGGTGCTCTGGCCTGGACTTAAGGTTAACTAGCTAGATAATTTTATGCCAGGTTAGAAAGATAAACTTATTAATCTATATTCTTAGACTTATAGAACTCTCTTATGAATTTTAATTTAATATTAGGCTCACTGTTATAATAGCTAATAACACACTTAAGATCCTGCCGCTAGATATAAGCCGAATTAAACTAGTGATATTCTGTATAGTGATGTACCTTATATATTACCTGGCAAATTTCGCTTAGTCTTATAGGTATATAAACGTATCTATTAATCATATTTATATTATTAACTCTAGTGCCTTTATAGATATAGTTAAGCCAGTTTTCCTCCTAATAAAAACTTTACACCTTTTTATAGCTATTAAGCATAAAATATTTCCGTGGGATCTTTCCTATTTTACCGCGTAGTAATCCTATCTTGTTGGTTAATAGCCCTTTAATGTACTACATAGCTATTAGAATATATACACTCTATGAATCTTAAGGCTTAACTTACCAGTGCTATAAACTCGCTTACTTCCTTGGGAATCCAGTTGTTAGTAGCTATATTCTCTCGATTCTAAGCGCTACAGAACCGCCGAATTTTAGCCTACTTAAAGGATTATTTTGCAGATGATAGTTACAATGGAACAAGATAAAACCAGGGGGCATGCAGCCGGACATTGTGGATACGTCAGCTACATTCTGTCGAAAGTGAGGGATGGTTTCGCTTAGAAGGAAGTAATTCTCTGTTAATCCCGTTAAGCTACCAGACACCTTTAGTTATTTTCCCCTTCTTTACCTAACTACATATGTACCGTTTTAACAGCGAATATCTTCACCCCATACCTGGAAGAGAAAGAGTCCCATTTTAATCCTTAGCTTTAATTTTGGTGGCGGCTAGCACAAATAGTGTTTACATTCGCTGACTTTTATCGTGGTGGCGTTTCAATGTTCCCAGTGGAACTTCCCACTAGAGACGTCAACAGACATGTAAACGCCACATGCCGCGTCCTCATTTATGCGATGAACAAATTCCCATTCTTTGTTTTCAGAGACATGCCTAATTTAGGGTTCCCAAGCTAAAACTCACAAAGAGAAACTCCAGATAAGAATGAGATGACATCTCTCATCAGTTCCGGGTACTCCAATCCCACCCACGTTCCATCAATCTCCATGTCTGTCAAAAGAGTTGTCAAAAGAGTCTCGCATAGGTTCAACCTATACGCGTGAAAAGATAATTAGTGCATCACTCCAAATGCTTCATGCACGAAGCACTTACGGGTTCCTAGAATTTGAACACACATTAGTACGCATCTAATATACCACGTCCATAAACTTACGCAGATACGGCCTCCACAATCTGTTACACAGCAAACATAGCCCGGGCGGCATTGATTATGTGGGCATGCGATGATGCATTCGCTCGATGGCTAATCTCACTGCGTCAATACCATTATTAGCTATTGCATGCGTTGTACGTACCCTCCTACATCTTGGAAATTCGATTGCCAGTCCAAGTCCGGCGAGAAGAGTTATCATAGTAGCAAAGGCTTTCATGGTGATCAAGGTGATTGCTGAACCGGCTGGGTGGACAAGGTTGCGGTAACACAGCCTGGGTGCAAGGGGAGCCTTTATAGCCTAAATCGCTTGGTGTGAATTGACCTGGAATTGTCCACTTGGGTCTGATGCGCATTATTAAATATTAGATCGGGAATCTCTTACACGTGTCGGAGGCTGGCTTGAGGACGTTCCACTTTACCTGTCGCCGTTGATTATCGGATTGGCCTGAACAACGTGGCCAAGGCGTTATGGTTTCCCAATTTTTCAGTACCCCGCGCCTTGTTCACAAAATCGAAAACAAAACAGCCCTTTGGAGTTTGGACCAGTTTGGGCTTCAGCTGCGAGCTGTCCGGTAGCCACAGAATCTGGAACCGATGCCCCGAAAGTTTAATTTGGTACGACACGGCAAAGCGATGCCGAACTCTGCCTACAGCAGGCTGGGCCTCGAAGCCATGGCCGAGCGACTAGCTTGGATCTTGGATGTGCGCTGTAACTCGTATGATTTTGTAATGTGACGGAGAGACGCGGCGCCTGAAGTGCTAGAAGGGTCTTGTCCTAGGTAATCTCTAGGGCTTTGTAGTTGTGCACATAGGCAGCGCAGAATTACATACATGCAATAGTATATCCGCCAAGTGGTAATGAGGCATCCGATTTACGCCTGTGCCCTTTTCTGCTGCTGATAATTTACCAGGACAGGACAACTAGCATCCCTGTCTTGTGCCTATTTCCCGACATAACATCACCGCCAGAAGCCTTCTTGCAGATCAGCGATAAAAGCTAGAAAACTGCTCTGATACCTTCCCCTAGTAGTAGCTGAGAAGATTCCATACACCTCAAACTGCTCAGAATTTAACAAAGAAAGACCTTTAGAGAACGTCGCTTAAGAGACTTGCACGCAGTAAAGAAGTATCAAGGGAAGTACTATGAGATATACTTCTATAATAAATATGAAAATAAAGTCTTAGTCTTATATTATAAATTATGGATTCAAACAAGATGTTGTTAAGACAAGTATATACTCAAGCTTTACACAACTAGCACTTTATTTGAAATGTTATCGTTTGAATAAACAACCTTTTGAGACTAGCCTAGATTTAGTGTCCTTATACTAGTAGTACCCTTGAAACAGGCTACGGTCAATTGTGACCAGAGTTGTGCTGGAACGTACAAGTGCTTAGCGAGTAACAATACAACCGTTTCTATTGAAGCTATGCTTTACATTTCTAAATGCGGGTGGGAAGCAGAAGCCTATACACTTGCAACCCTCTTCTTGTGTAATTATCGTGAGCCGACTTTCAAAGCTAGGTTTATTTTATAGCTGGTAAAAGTCTGCTCGATTGAGATGGAACTAAGCAAGCATGCGTGTCATGTAGCTTTGTATGAGAAAAATAACATGACGTCACACCTCGGATGCAAAGAACGACAGGGTGGTCTGATCAAAAGTGATGCGGCAAAATCTGCAGGTGAATTATTACCGAGCTCTGTGATATCACTGAGAGCGGCGTCGTGGCACGCGCAGCGAAGTCTCACGACAAAAGTGCTGGAGTGGGCACAAAGAGCCGACACGCGCAAACGTTTCTGGGGCCTTGCAGCTCGTGCCTGGCTAAAATTGGTCGCATAACGTCTGGTGCATCAAAATATTGACATTAATCCGCCTATGCGGTGGCTGTATCGGATATTTGCACAAAGCATTGGCCATGGTCCAACCAAAGTCGGTCAAATACGCGGCGCTGTGGCATTCTGCTTGACTCTTCATTCAAACGGCAAGGTAACATTGAAAGCCGACATGGATGTGCCGAGATTTCCTTTCAGCTCAGAGAACGGGTTTAACGGGGATATGAAGCATTGCAGTCGCCCATGGACCCAAAACCCCCAAGACCGTGTCAGAATTTAGCTCCAAAAATAGGCCCATATTAAACACTTCGCTGAGACCAAACCCTCACTCAGAGACAACTTGCATAAGCCGCCTCTGTTTTACTGCATGCCGCTGTCTTACCTGGGACGAAATTCGCTGCTACAACTCCACCCAGCGTGCTGAGATTGACGGACTTTTATTATCCGAATCGCCCAGGGGCGGCTGAGTACCAACTTTCTTCCAAATCGAATACGCTTTGAATGCCTTTCTTCACTCAGCTCGGGCGCAAGGTCGATACTTTCGCTGAGGCATGCATGACGGCAGAATAGAAGTACATGTAGTCAATTATGTAGTATTGGAACGCCTCGACTCTTCTCCACTCGAGTATGACACGAGCTAATCCTGGACACCCGAGGCGGAAAAACTGTTCCCGTTTACGATTTCTCTGGCATACAACGGCGCGATAGGTGATCAGCAATGGACGATACATGAATATCACAAACCTGGGCTTGAGTATAAATCAGATCAATATCCTCACTCAGTTCCTTCTTGGACTCACCATCAATCGAGCATCTACCAACATTTTCAACATTTTCAACACTTTCAACACAACCCAATATATCCCAACATATCCCACCACTATACTACAACATGTTGTATCAAACCTCCATCTCTCTCCTGCTGGGCGTCGCATCGTTGGCCAGCGCCCAGAGCTGCGGCGGCGGCGGCAGTTTCTCAGTCGACAATGTGCAGTACGTATAACACCTCCCTCGCATTGAACTCTGCAAGACGTCTTTCTAACTTGATCACAGGGAAAACTTCGGTAGCGTGACTCTACAGCCCAGGTCGGCATTGCGGTTCTCTCAAGGCAATGCCCAGATCTGCATCGTCAATCGAGCTCCGAATACCGTTGTTACCATCTCTGGTAATCAAATCAATGGAGCCATTTCCGCCGTGTTGAATAAGTGCTGCACGAATGCTGGCAGCTGCGGCGGCGGTCAACAGAAGATTACCGGGCCCAACGGCAACGTTATCGATCTCTCCGTCCAGGCTCAGGGACAGAACTGCACCCCATAAATTTCCGAGTAAGTTGAGCCTCGAATTATATCTCCCGCCCAACAAGTCATTGTTTCAGCGTCATATTTTTAGCAATTTTGCAAACAGAACAATGGAAAGTAGTGTTAACCAAAGCTCAATAGCCTAGCCGACCTACGATTTCATGTTGGATTTGTCGAGTTTGATCACTACATGATATCGTGCCTTGACTACGATCAGAGCTTAGATAGATACATGCATTTCTACTGTATTTGAATTGGGGACTATAGAGTACAGCTATTCAACATAGCACCAGATAGTATCTCGAATCAAACATATATTTCTGGCCATAACTTGATGTTCGCTCTTGCCACTGTCCATGATGAGATTGTAGTCAGCTGTAGTAGTGTCACAGCTTCACAAGGTGGGTGGTTGCGCCGCTTGCCATGGGAAGAGCCTTGGGCAACCGAGTAGCTCACCTCATTGTATTCCCGGCCAGAATAGTGCATACTGACAAGGTCATCCCCGCATATGTCCCACCCGCGTTTCCAGAACCAGAACACGGTGACAGATTAGGTATCGATGTGCTCTCTTGTATTTCCCTCGGCCCCATGGTAGGATCGTGCGAGGAGTGGATGCGTAACTATTTAAGCAGATGGCCAGATTTCTCGCAAGAACCTCTATTCAGGGCTGGTCCGATGACTGGCCTAGCGGTGCATGAAGCAACAAATCATCATCCTTGTTATCATGATTGCCTCTGGCATCGACATCGTCTTGCAAGAAATGCTCGCGCTCGCAAAGACTTACGATCCAACTCGCGAACGGCCGGTGGGTGTTAGGGCTATCCTAACCCTAACTGGTCCTCATGCATGAAGGAAACTCGTAAAATGCCTTGAGAGAGACCCATTAACCTTTCTGCTACCATGTAGCTTCTTGAAGTGACGAGAATCCTGCAATTGCTGTTCCCCGGCAAGAAAACCTTCGGCGGCTGGCGTGTTGAGGGGTTATTGGCCGTCCTCGGAGTTAATTCAATAGAAGATATTGATATCGCCTGCACTATCGAGTATCGTGAGTCACTGTCCGTTCCTCTCTTCGTTCAGGAAGTTATACCCTAGACTAAGCAAATAAGTCTCCGGGTCATGTCACCGCGGCAGCTTACCCTACACTACCGAGTCTAATAAGCGTAAAACGACTGTTAGGCCGCTAGTATTATTCATGTAGCCACTAAGAAAGCTGAGGTCGGTCGATAAAATCCCGGTCTCTTAGGAAAGAGATTTTCAAGAATAACTTGTAAGGCGTGGCTTCGTCAAGGAGTTGGCCATGATAGATGGCAGCCGTTTCGCCTGGTGAAGTCAGTTTATTTGCAGGAATCTCGGATGCCGGAAAAGTGGACCGAGTGCCGAGTTAACAGCCCCTGCTATACTCCGAATCCGATAGACGGTGGAGCCACGCCGGCCCGGCCCCAGGTTTGGTGAAGATGGGAGAGTTTCCTTCGCACATGTTCATTGACGACGAACATAGGCATAGTTTGCCTTAAATGGAATATAAAAATTGCATGATAGGCGTGCGAGGACATCAAGAGGCTTGACCTTCTGTATCCTCGCCGAGACAAGTGCACTGATCTTAGTATCTTCCCTCAAGCGGTTCAACTTGATTATCCTCACAGCACTCCTTAAGTCAAGTGACCGCGAGCAAAGGAATTATTTCCGCTGAAAGCTATTCGCGGCGTGCCTACCCTGTTCATACTGCACGACACCGCCATATTCCCCTTCCGACATGCTGATGATCACATCGCCTAGGCGAATGTCATGTCTGTCGCCAGGCACGCCAGCTGGTCATCGTGCTTGCGGCAGCTTGCCCGACGTTATTGTCTTCCTCCTGCTTACGGATTGTCATTCCCGTGAATAACATGCTGAAGGGTAAGGCGTAAAGTGCTAGATGGTAAAATGACAGCGCCGAAAAATGTAGGGTATGGTAGTCAAGCAGTTGTTGGATGGGAGCACGTTCCTGATTGTTACGTCATCAGCACACTGCTGGCTAATCTCCGGCTATGAGCGGAAGCTACATCGACGTGATCAGGAGGTAGAACAACCAAAGAACCTAGCAAGGCTATCCCGACTTGTCGCACTTCTCCACCAACGAATCCATTGAGACTCAACGCGTTGCGAACTAAACAATAGACTGAAGCTGCGAATGTTCTATTTGCGTATATTAGTGTTTTCGGTATTATGATTCCTCGATAGCTTCTCTATCCTCCGGTCAACCGCCTGTGCTGGCTTCCATCAACCTATTTTGCAACGTCTTCATCGAGAGGGTTAAAGTCGGCCTACATCTGCAACGATGTACCCAGATTCCTGCGCACACAAGTCTGTGGATAGTCTATTGTCAGACATACCCCCCAGTTTACATCGAACGGACTTCCCCTTCCATAGGTATTGTGACCGAAACGCTCGAGCCGGAGATGGAAACTAATGGCGTCCCGAGACAAAGCTCTACAAGTCCATGTTATCGCCAAAGGCCAGGCTCGACGGCTAGCTCTATCCACTCCACTGGAGGATTACCGGATACAATATCGGGTAGCTGGGCAAACGCTGTCTTAGAAGCAGGGCAGAATGGTATACTGAAATTCTCTCGTTCGGTGTTCAAAGCAGGTGCTAATATTTCCTTGAAAAGCAATATCGACATTACTGCAACCGCCGATAGTACGAACAGGACTTCTATCGCATACTTCAGCTCCAACATTAAGCGCCCACAAGCCTCCAACCACGCGCGATATCCCCCCGGTGGCACTAACAAACATCACGCACGTTGACGTAGCCGAATTCAAGCCCTACCTGACCCAAGTCGGTGCATTATATGAACAATTGCAAAGATTAAAGGAGAGAGAAAATGAATCGGCAGATACCCTTGACAGCGGTAGCGGTAAAACAAGCCAGTTTGCTGCTGTTTTCGATGACGGTCACCTACAACAGGGAAAGCGGTGCCTATCTTCACCGTCACCTACAGAAATGTCTGTTGCGATTCCAAGATTCAGTTCAGGATCTGCAAGACGAGCGACTCAATCAGCGCCACCACTGTCTACTGTACCCCGTGTATATTTCGACGCAGACTTTCACTTAGAAAATCCTCGCACATTTGACGTGGTCAGTGAGAGATCAGAGGTTGTTCGTCCACCGCCAGGGCTGCTCAATGAAAAGGCTTCAAAAGGAAATGCAACAGCGCCACGGAAAGCCCTCGCAACAAACGCGATACTACAAGAAAAACTATCCTGGTATATGGACACGATAGAAATGTACCTTATAGCTTCTATTTCAGCGGCTTCCACGGCATTCTTCACTGCATTAGGTTCGCTACAAGAACTTCAATCAGAAGCCGCTGATTCCGTGGAGAGAATCAAGGCTCTCAGGAAAGAGCTCGAGGCTTTAGATAAAGAGATTGTAATAAGCGGGTTAAATATTATCCAGAAGCGACAACGACGGGAGCATCTCCAGCAGCTACACGACGCAGTCCAGCAACTTCAACATATTGTCGATAGCGTTGTTGCCTGCGAGTCTTTGGTAGACAATGGAGAAGTGGAGAAGGCCTTAAAATGTGTCGACTCTCTCTCGAAGCTCATTGCTGGCGAGCCAGATGCTTCACAGGCACCATTACATATAGATGGACAAGATATTCAGTTACGAGACCTTAGGGCCGTAATAGCGCTACAAGGCGTGAATGACGATTTGATTACGCTACGCATCCGAATCGGCAAAGCTTATGCAGCACGATTTCTCAGTCTCCTTATGGGAGATCTCGGGCGCCACACTGATGCCGTCTCCACGCAGGAGGTACTCATGCGTCGGACTAGTGCTTCAGTACGGTCTCGAGGCGGCCATACACAGGAGGCTTCTGTCGTCCCATCCTATATGAGCTCGACCGATGGTCTTCGGTCCGAGTTACTAGAGGTCTTGACCAGCTTGCATAGAGCAAAGCACCTTACCAGTGCTACTTCGGCTTATAGAGAGGCTGTACTGAAGGAAATTCGCAACCTAGTTCGGCGACCTCTACCTACTTCAAACGATGATGATAATGAATCGATTTTGTCTTCGTCAACCATGGCCAGGGGCCAGTTCGCCCCGCAGGAGAAATCGTCTATTCTAGCTCGAAACCTACGAGCTCTTCAGCCTGAAGAAGCTGAAGAACTACTGATCAAAATTTATATTAGCGTCACTGAGACGTTGAGGAGGTCAACAACACAAGTCAAACTGTTGCTAGACGTTGCTAGTTCGTTAGGTGATGACACTGGTCCTTCAGGGTTAAGATGTACTGAGATGGACTCACCGCCCATTACTCCTGCCGCCTGGAGGCCTTCCGTTGCGGCACTCGAGGCACAAGAAATCCACAAAGCCATAGACTTACTAAGTCTCCTAGGTGAAGCTGTGGACGTTGCACAGAATAAGACTGTGAAGCTCCTCAGGGTTCGTTCAGAGCAGAGTACGCACCTATCACTAATTCGCTTCCTCCGGTATTTTGCTCTCAATCTCTACTTTACCAACGAGTGTGAATCAATCTCTGGGCAAAGCGGTACGGCCCTAAAGACAATTATCAATGGGCAAATTCAAGACTTCATACAGCAGCACGGCGATGTAGAAAAGCAAAAGCTTGTCCAGGGCATGGACTCTGACCAATGGGAGGCGAAGGACTTTTCAGAGAAACATACCGCTGAACTTGACAGGATTCTATCCTGTAGTACGAAAGACCCGGCTGAGTGGTCAGATGGTATTAAACCTTGGATTCTGTATTCAGATGACGACCCTGGTTTTAATTGCGCTGATGATCCGCAACTCAACAGCGATGATAAAGCCAAGACTAGGAATGCGTCCATTCACGAGGAAATATTCGTACTTCCTAGCTCCGCAATTATTTGCATGAATGGTGTGGCCCGCTTCTTACAACTAATAGTTGGTATCCCATCAATGACTTCAGACATCGTGGCTTCATTGGTCTCCTATCTCCAGCTTTTTAACTCGCGGTGCACACAACTTATCTTAGGCGCAGGGGCCAGACGATCCGCAGGCTTAAAGAACATTACATCAAAGCATCTGGTTCTCGCATCGCAAGCATTGACGTTCGTTGCAACCTTGATCAGCTATATTCGCGAGTTTGTCAGGCGCCACGCTGGAACTGGTGCTGCTGCTTCGAGTCTAGTCGAATTTGATAAGGTCAAACGTCTCTATCAAGAGCACCAGAACAGCATTTATGACAAGATAGTCGAAATCATGACCCGCCTTGCAGCCTCACATGTAAAGACTATCAAACTTATCGACTGGGACAATGAGCAAAAGAATGTGCATTCCTACATGGCGACATTAACAAAAGACACGACCTCGTTACATCGAATCCTGACAAAGTCTCTTCCAGAAGCAACTGTTGGAATGATCATGACTCCAGTATTTATCAGTTATAGGAATCAGTTCGGCAAGGCGTTCCAGGAGGTAGACCCCATGACGGAATTAGGCCGGGAGAGGTACGTCTACATGAGCCCCAATCAGCTTACGACAGATTCTGACTTGATACAGCATGCTACATGACATCGAGTTCTTTGAATCCAAACTCGGCAAATTGGATGGTTTTGGTGATACTGCAGAATACCTGACCACAATTATCAAGTCCAAGCAAGTCACGACCGGACGGCCAGCCAATCTAGCCGATGGCCAACTAGAAAAGAAAGACACTGAAAACACTGCGAATTCGGCCGAGACAAGGGATAACACTGAAGATAAAGACGAAGAGCCGGATAAAGCAGATGATGGCAAAATCGCTGCCGACGCGGTGTCGGACCCGGAAGCCAAGTAATAATAATATGGGAAGATATAGAAAGAAAGTGAGTATACGACACGTTCTAGGAAGTGTTTGGCAAAAGTAGCGAGATGGACAAATAGAACAGTTTCGGGATAGACAGAATGTCAATTACTTTCACTAGAGGTAGACGGAAAGCAACAAAGACAGAGAAGATATGTCTGTATAAAAAAAAGAGAGATGGAATAAGACTGAGAAGGATGAGCCCAGACATGTATTGTAAAGTTTCATCAGTACGGCAAAGTGTCATTGCGCGCTCGTATGTTAAGAGGCTCTTCACAACTGGTGTTTTGTTATAGGAAGTGGCAAGGTGTGTTTCTGTCAGAGCACTAATTATATCAAATGGTAGTTCTAGCTCTCACCGTTTCTCGGATCGCACAAGTATCGAAAAGCTATCGACAACTACAGTATTGCTGAGCATGTCTTGCCAACACGGTTCAATTAACGAAATATGATTTACAATGGGGGTGGCCGTAAAATTGAGATGGACTGATAGATGGCAGTTGACTGCTGGGACCGATGTGGCCACCACCTGTGGCTGTTACAGTCGAGAGACACAATCCAGACGGTACTATAGACTGACGAAGGGCAGCTCTGAGTCACGCAAGTTATTTGCAGAGCGTTGTCAAGGCAGCCTGGCCTCCACGCGCTACTATCAATCGTTTCGATAGCCCCAAATTAACGTTCATCTCAGTCCCATCGACAAGACAAGCTAGCTAGTTAAAAATACTAATGGTAAAGGCTGAGCTTACTTGGAGAAGAAAGGCAGTTGAATCTACAAACCTGGGGACCGAAGCATCTCCTCAACCCTTTCAAGATTTGCTTTCAACGCTTTCAGATCCAACGGTTGATCTTCTTTGTATAGCCCGCGATTCTTGAGGTAGCTTGTGTATTCGTCACATAGAGCTACACGTTTTTGCACTTCTTCTTGAACCGCAATACTTGATTTGTAATATGCATGGATGTCGGTGCGTAATTTTCCTATCAAACCCAGTCGTTTGTGAAGACGAGCAACGACCTCGGCAAGCTCGGTAGGGTATCGAATGATGTGAGCAACATACAAAACCTTATTCGGCTCTCCGTTTGTCGCTCCATACCATTGTTTCAACATTTCACCACAGATGGAGTTGGTTTTCGATTTCGCCACAAGAATGCCGCGGAACTCGGCATGCAGTAATTGGAATTCCATGATGCTCTCATCGTCTACACCTGAAATCCACGGTGGGGGCGAAAATAATTGCTTGGGAACTGTGCTCGCGTCATCCCAGTCGATTATACCATTGATTTGCAGTTCGTCATTGACGATGATGTTGGCAAGCCGCAAATCTGAGTGATACAGAGGGTACCCGTTCTCTTCATCATCAGGACCAGCGTCGATTAGATCTTTCTCCATAAAATGGACTGCAAAGGCCTCAAGTTTCATATCGTCAATGGCCTGGTCCGCAACTGGGACTGCTAGCGTGTCAGAGACTATCTGGAGTTGGCTTTCCATGTACTCTCGCACTGATGTTGTTGGAGGGACGCTACGACGGAGCTCATTCAAGGGTATCGATTGTAAATCACCAACTACCGGAAGCCCCGTGTCTGTTCCGGGCATCAGCGACCCCAGTGCTGGAAAACTCGTCTGTCGCAACTGGACCAAAATCTTGATCAGTTGAGAAAAAAATTTGGCTCGCCTCTCAACGGTTGACTCGAGTAGGAGCCGATCTGTAAGGCTCTGGCCGGGGATAAAATCTAATATTAGAAAAAAATATTCGTTATTGCCATCGTTGGAAAGCCGCTCGTTGCGGCCGAATGCGCGGACACGAGCCACGGGGATTTGCGTTGTCTCTCTCAAGTATTTCGAGACGGCAACATGACTGAGAACTCTGCTCCAGGGATCATAAACGAACGGTAGTATGGGAATTCGGACAACGCATTTTGTTTCATCTTTGAATTCAACAATGAAGTTGACATTGAAGCTCCCACTGTCACATTTGATAACGCGGCAGTGATCCTGTGTGCTATATCGCAAGGCCAGGGCCGAGACTCTTTCCAGAGAAATTGCGGAAATGAATTGGGATCGTTGTTGATCGTCTTGTTCGGGAGTCGGTGGAAAGTCGCCAACGGCAATTACTGGTCGTTCTACCCTTCGATTGTATATGCAAGAAGCGGAAGCGGAAGCCATGAATTCAACGGAGCGAGAAGGACGAGGGAAGGTTGTGTCTGGTAGGTTTGCGTTGAGTCGAGGTCAAATCTCCAAAGCAGCGGGTGGTCGAAAGAGGGGTGGAGGGCCGCGCCTTGGCCATGCAGGCAGGTGGTCGAAAACGGCATCTAACTGCATGTGGCAACGATTGACTTTGTAACAAAAGTATTGACAGGTTGGGGTGCTCGCCGCGGGGCTTTTATAATAATTTTTCTCTTATAATTAATACTTATAGTACAGGTCGTCGAGTCGGCTCGTTCGACTGTAACCCTGACCCTAACCCTCTTCCATTACAAAGCCGACGACATCATGCTGTGGACGAGACCGACAGCCAAACACGACTGCTTACAGTACGGTGATGGAGAGGCTACTTGTATTGACTTCCTACACTAGCTATCAGATCGACAAGTTCCTCTCTAGTCTGGTCCTCTCTGGCCATAGCTAGCCAAAACGAAATACCCCAAATTCCAGTGCTTGTTAACGGCACGTTGATATAGTAGAGAGTGATGTTAATGTACTTACACAAACAAGGAATCCCCATTCTGCCCGTGGGCAGCTCGGTAAACCGCCTCAGCTGCCTCAACGGTCAATAGGGTGTCCATCCATAGCTGCACATGCCGCCGTATCTCCTGGACCGTTGTTTCGTGGCCCGACGCTTGGGCGAGATGTCGCAGCGCCGCGCAACATTGGTAGCAAAGATCACTGTCTGTTTGGCTCTGGGTAACGCGGTTACAGCATTCGCGGCAGAGTGACAAGTTGGGAATTTATGGCCTCAAATGTGCGCATGGATTATTTTGTGGACAGCGGCATCGAATATTCAAGAGGGAACCTCATCTTATGTAGAGGATGAATGTGAGCTCACGGCATTCGGGTCGAGTGTGCCTATTGATACCCAATGTGCAAGTCCAGGTCTCTATGCAAATTGAGTGCCATTGCCCGGCATGTCTCAGTTGGAAGATATATCTTTCTCGCGTTAATCGCGTCCTTGTGTGTATTGCCAACACTGCATGGGACTCTGCAACTTACCTGACAAGTCGTCTATTGCAACCAGACCCTACCCAGTGTGATCGCGAGGCCGTTTTTGCGACCCGACCAGGTCCATCATGCGATATCTTGCAATAACTGTCCTTCGACGTGGATGTAAGAAATGCAAGCTAAATAGGTATCAATCTGTCCGTTCACAGGGCCAGTCTCACCTCCGTTTTTGTTTAGCGGAACTGGCCCATGAGGCAGATCTTCCCTATTTTGCTGCATCAAAATCTCCACCTAGTAGTTGCGATATCTCATACACCTCACGTATAAAAATGGTGAATATTCAACATGTTCGCCTTGATGAAGCATTTCTTGCCTTCATCCACGGGAATAAGGCGTAGGAGATTAACAAAGTCAAGCAGCAATCTATTTGAGTACTCAAGCCCAAGGAGTAGTTGAGTAGAAGAGGGGGAATGGCGCCGCAGAGCATTACTGTGCAATGAAACATTCTGCACATGCAGCATCTGCAGCAACTTGTCAAGTTCTCCGTATTAGAAACAATGCCGCCCTCCTCGAGGCAACAATACCGCGCCTCTTGGACTAGTGAATGAGCGTGCGGCCCGCGACATGGATGCGGCTGATACAAGCGAGCTCATTGGACGCAGTCTCCAGAGCTATAGGTGGTTGGTTAGAAAACTCAGGTGCGTGGAAAGGCTTGATTCTTGCCAGCTGAGGTTGTACAGAAACGTCCGGTCTCGCCATTACACGCCGTGCTGACCACCATGTCACCCAGACGGGCCATTGACTTGTCGGTTCCGACGATTTGCATGACAAAGCGTGGACCTGATAATCACTGCGCTCTGGCCTCGCAATCCGGTGTCTTCCGTTGCTGTGGCCATACATGTGTTATGTGCTATGACTCGAGCACAGTCCGCAGTCTATTCACCACACCGGGATTGCGCGACCAGGCAAGTCGCGATGGACATAAATCTGACCTTTATGTAATTGAACCGGCTATTCCTTCCTTTTCTAGAGCAATTGACGCTGAATAACTCTTCATTGAGACATTGTAATCATCACATCAGACCGTCGAATGAGCCACGTCCACGCTGCAGCGGTCCAGAACCCCAGGCAGACTCTGCATGTCTGACTTCAGCGGGCTGTTCAACCATTGAGAAGGGGCATGCGCTCGGTGTCAGCCTCGGTGAGTGATGCAAATTTCTCATTGCGGTGTGGATTTCTGCTTATATGTGCAGATCACATCCGCTGTCAGCATTGTGTCCTCAAACGGGAATTTCAGCTTCAGTTTCTTTGGTTTATTGCCTTCCCGATGCAGATACTTGCATACACTCGCCGTGGGACGACGTGACTTGCAGCCTCGATTTACAGTTGTGGCGACGGTGACGATATTTTGCTCCCCTGGCAAAATTTCCAATATTCAAGCAACTGCGGAGCACTCCGTACGGAGTAGACGGAACTTGACAGACCATGTGTCAATGCGCAAGACATACAGGGAATGCATTTCCCTGGCAAGTACAAACTAATATGCTGTAGTACATTGTAGATGTAGAACACGATAGACTGGTACTTCACTGTCTTGAATGCTTTTAGCCCCCTGCTGTATACGCAAGCAGCATGGACATTTCAAATCTGGTATCTGGCCTTGTCCTGGAGCTGATATATAAAGCAATCAACGTGCCTTCTCGCCATGGTAGTGAAGAATCAGTTCAAGCCAGGATCAAACCCATAGCAAGATTTTCTGTGCCTTTTATATCAACATTGGATGCAATGGCTACTACTGTATTTCAGCTCTCCAAAGCGGCATTCATCTTTGCTCTTTCCTTGAAAGTTGCAAGTGCTGTTGATTTGGACCATGATCCCATCATTGGCGTTGATGGAGGGGACCACTTGAACCCTCCACCATGTCATACAACTATTACCATTCCATATATCGGAAGTACCACGACATCCACAACTGTTGTTCCTTGCGGCACCGGCCTCGCCACTCTAGTCATACAGACTCCTTTAATCACCGAGACGTGCAGCCCGACGCACACCACGACCCGTAAGCCGCCTCCCACTTCAACATCTCAGCACACGACAACACAAACCACAACCATTAGAACCACGACAAAGAAACCAGTTACCACAACCACAACCACAACCAAGATTCCTGAACCAACTCCCGGTGGGCCCTGTCCAATCATTAAACCCCGCTGCCGCCCGGAGGGTTTCGACATCGACTACTACGCCAACCCCTTCGCTGGGTACAGTCGAGAGAACTCCCTCCCGTGGTCCTACTACATCACGCAGAACCTGAAGCCTCTCAAGTCTTCGATTACAAACGTCACTTTCTTCCCTCAGGACTTTGGCCCTCCTGCCAACCTCCCCAAGGTCTATCCACGCCCCGACCTCCCCGGTGTTTGGTACGCAGTCGGCTGGACGAAGCAGACCAATGGCGGCATCGTGGTCGACGCCAACAACTTCACCCTCGTGTACAGCGGCTTCTACCGGGCCCCCGAAACCGGCAAGTACACTCTCTGCACCACTGCTGACAACGAGAACGACGTCTTCTTCGGACACGGCAACGCCTTCAGCTGCCTGGACGGCAGAGTCGACACGAATGTGAAGCCGCTTGTGGTGTCTACTGGAGGCAACTACATCAATGGCATCAAGTGTGCAGATCTGGATTTGGTCAAAGATGCGTACTATCCCCTGCGTAGCGTCATGGGAGATTGGCAGGGCCCGTCGGCGTTTAACCTGACTATCAAGACGCCGAGCGAGACGTTTGAGAATCGCAAGAACGATTACACTGGTAACGCGTATCCCCTCTCTTGTCGATTTGGATCGGTATAAAGCAGACGCTGAAATGGATGGCTGCAGAGGCGTACGTGTACATTGGTATGGAACACCTAACATGTGGGCAGGGGCATGTCCCCCTCTATCGTTCTCGACGCTCCTTGATTGGATTATTTTAAAAAGTACAGAGTTGATATAGCCGAGATGCGGTAAACTTGGAAATAAAGCGGCTGTTTTAATAAAATCAACCCAAGATTACAATTTGTTCCTCGTTATGAGAAATTCGTAGAAAGGAAACATGCGATGATTCAACTGCCCAGACCCTAAGCTGTGTACTAAGCTCACCCTGAAAACAAAGTCTACATGCTCCGTCACATAACAGCAGCGCTTTGCATCTTTCCCACAGACCCTCGCAAAAGATGCTAGAATCAATCCGCTAGGAGTTGGGTTCGAGCGGCTTGACCGGTTCCACTACGCTCAACTGCGGCAGATACAACGGCCGTCACGCAACATGATGTATTGGATAACTAGACGACCGGTGACTGTCTACGTACATAAGCTAGAGTACTGTTGCGCTATCTATCCCCGGAGTGAGATACTGTTCTAGGGTTGATGAGCGCTTCATGTTGGCTTCATCAGATTTGACTAAGGTAAGGCCCATATGGAACCGCCGCATTCTCAGCCACCCACTTCTTCTCATCTTCCGATCCCGGGGGCGGTATCCTCATTCCTTGAACTCTGAGTAGGCTGCGATCGCCTTCTTCACCAGTGAGCTCCAAATACCAGCCCTTGTCTATGGTGAAGGGTTTCAATATTTCAGTAACCCTGTCGAGAAATTTGTCCTTTTTCTCACTTTCACCTGGTAGGAACTGCCGCGCAATGTGAGTGAACCTAACGTGAATAAAGGTCGGTTCTTGTGCAGACGACTGTTTGACAAGGTTAGTAGTGGTGCATGCTGTGTATTACAAAGCGTACACTTGCCTGCGGTTGACCACCTCGGTATATTTCATTACGAGGCATGGGGAAAAAAAAGACGCCAACGTAGAATGCCGGAAGAGGAACAGCGGTATAAATCTCAGTAATAGCCTTTGCGATGGCGTCTTTCTCGGCGTCGTCGCGGAGGACGTCGTCAGGGTGATAGATGTTCCAGTAAGGCATCTTTCTTGTTAAACAATCTTTTTTGAAGGTGTTTTGTGGCAGGGAAGCCTGTTTCAGTGATTTAATACTTCGTATAGCAACCTCACAGGATAGACCATTATGCAAATATATATTCAACTGCAGTACAGCACCGAGGCGGGCAAAGTTGACATTGCGGTCATTACAAATCGGCAGGCTGCGATTTCGACTCGGCCGCGGATGTCATGGCAAGCTGCAGACGACAAGATTCGCAGCAGAACAGTCGGTGCGGGAGTGCGCAAAGACCGTTTGTCATCAATTTCTGTGGTTGGAGCGCTAATGTCTGGTAGTATTGTGCACGTGGATGGAGATCTGACTTGGATTATTGTACTGTCGGGATAATGACATAATTCGGCCCGCGTTCATTTTCTGAGTTATAGCCCGCTTTTGAATGGCATGGAGCCAATGGATTTTGGCTACCCACCTACATATACCTCGGTTGGGGCTAACTGCCATGATAGTATAATCATTGGTACAAAAAAAAAACGGAAAGCCAGCGGCGACCCTGCTCATCACGTCTGAATGCGACGTGGCCCTTTCTTAGCAGGCTTGACAACTGTTGTTTTAAATGACTTCATTTTGCAGATCTTACCAAAGCCCCATAAAGTCCGTTGGCGATGAAAGCTGACTCAGGTGGACTTTTACCGTCACTCTGCTTCTCCGAGCCCATGATTACACAACGTCACGTTCGGGGCGGTCTCTGACAAATCGAATAGCTCCTATTGTGTGATATGTATGGCCATCAAGACCGTGTTGCGCCTCATCGAGCCCGTGGATGTTCGACGCCACGTTCGGAGTGATTCCTGGCATTAGATTACGCTCCTACTTTGTCATCTTTTAGGCGCTCGAGACCTTGTTGCGCCTCTTTATTTAAATAGGTCAACTAGTATAACTATTACAACCTCCGCATTCTAGCTTTTCTTTCCACAGCTTTCATCCTTTCGCGAATCTACCAGTCTGCTATCCAAAGACCGTCTACCCAGCAACTCATCATGTCGAGTTTAAGGTGCGCCGTATACGTCGCGCCGCCGATTCCCATCATCGACATCTTTACCAAAACCAAAGGAAAGACGTGGTCGCCAACATCATGCACGTTGGTGTACTCGGACGAGGCAGCTGTGCTTGTGGACACACCATACACAAATGCCCTCACAGAGGACCTGATTGCATGGATCGACAAGATTGCGCCCGGACGAAGGCTCGAATACATTTACATCACCCACGGCCACGCCGACCACTTCATCGGCATCCCCCAGCTCCTCAAGCGCTTTCCAGAGGCAAAGCCCGTATCTACAGCAGCGACTCTCCGCCATATGGAAAAGGACATCGCAGAGCCGAGATGGACAGAAACATGGGAGGCCTTTTTCCCGGGCCAGCTACGCAAACCCGACAGGCTCACCGACCCGCTGCCGGCGAGCAACGAGTTTTTCCTGCAAGACCGCTGGCGCTTCCAGGCCATCGAGGTGGGACAATCCGACACATACGATTCCACCGTACTTTGGGTTCCGGATCTGAAGCTCGCCGTGTGTGGCGACGTCGTCTACGGACAGGTGCACCAGATGCTTTTCGAAGCCAACACAAAGTCGAAGAGGGACGAGTGGATTCGGGCCATTGAGATGGTCGAAGCATTAAACCCTGCCTATGTCGTTCCCGGGCACAAGCAGGCGGAGGAAATGGATGGTGTATGGCACTTGGCTGCTACAAAGAAGTATTTGGTCGATTTTGGAGACGTGATGGACAAGTCGCCCAAGGACTGGACAGAGGTTCGCGACGCCATGTTGAAGCTGTACCCTGACAGGTTCAACCCGATGGTTCCTGTTTTGAGTTCCCTTGGAGCGTTCAAGGCGCTGGAGGAATCTCGACTTTAACTACATACTAGGGTCAAGTCGCCTTTGAGGAAGCAACTGATGTGCCGCTGGCCGCTAAACAGATAGTAGTACAAGTATTCAGTTTTTGCAAGATTCCACTCTTTGGCGTAGGAAAGGGAGAGCCTCACTTTCTCCGGCTGTCCGAACAATCGTCTTGTGTGACATATTCACTGTTGTAGATGAGATAGATGTAGGAAGAAAAGCTTTTCCGATGCGCCAGGAGTACTGGCGGCCCTCCCGATCATTGCCCAGTTGCATGTTTAAACTTGATCTTTAAGAGAAGGGTAACTACGTTAGTTTAGTCCGCGGAACAGAGGCCGGACCGTCCGGGGACACAGACTGAACCGTGAAACTGCCCCTCATTTTCCTTGGTAATATACATGTATCAATGTGATGAGTCAGTCCAAGGCCCTACCAGTTGCCGACTTCCCCAAACAGCGCCAAAACCTGCTCAACCCTACACACATATATATCCCCGTTTGCCACCTCCTGCAAGCTGGGACGTGTGCCATAATGAAGACGGGCAACTCGCGCCGGGGGCAACCGACCTCTGAGAAGCAAAGAAAAGAGAAAGAACTTCAAGTAAGCAGCACTTTAGTCTTGCGAAAAGCCATCATTGGGGGTCGTTGTCCCCCATCACTGGGAACTGCCCTCCGCGGATGTCAATGTACTTTACCGGGTTCCATTTCCAATGTGCTCACAACGACGCAGACCAAGCGAAAGCGAAATCGCCAAGCGCAGAGCCTGTTTCGGCAAAGAAAACAGGTCGCGGAAGCTGCGGAACGGCGCAGAATTCAGATATTGGAGGGCATTGTGCAGGAATCCAGCAACGTCTTCATCGACTTTATAGACGAGCTACTCGGGAAAAAAGATATTTTGCGTCACTATCCCGAGCTCGGTGCATCCATCCACCGTTCAGCGGCGCGTCTTCTCACACTTACCAAGAATTTGCACGCGGCCGACGATGCAGCGACACACCCAACAGCAATGCCTACACAAACAAGACTTTCTGCTCTTGTTGAACCACCCATCGATATGCAGGCAGTTCAATTCGCATCTACTATCGGGATACTTCCTTATGCCGACTTTGCAAGCCACGAACAAGGGCGCCGGTTTCAACTCGACGACATGATGACGCCTTCTACCCACGGCGCTGCACAAGTGAGCCGATGCTTACAACCATCATGGCAACTCGAATTCCCCACAACGGACCAGGACAAGGCCAGCACAGACAGCCTTGAAGACGAGTTTTCGCAGCATGTGCAGCGGCAACCACTGGGATCATTCTGCCTGCACCTTATCAAGGAAACGGTTTCTCAAGCGTGCCTCGCTCTCAAGGGTCAGCGTCCGGTGCCAGACAGGGACATTGAGCGCGTTTTTCAAGTGGCACTGCGCTCGTACACGCGAGACCAAATCATCACGAGGCTGCAGGCGATTCTGGGATCCGAGGGACATCGACTGTATCTTGCGGCAGGCATATCTTGCACTGATCACGACGACGCCGGAGACTACCTTACAGCCGTGGATGTTCAGTCACGACTTCAGGCACTCGGGGCACGAATGATAAACGTCGACCATGTTGAAATTAGCGTTCCCAATGGCACGCCAGAAATATCCGGCGACAGAGGCTCCGTTTTCGGCGATGCGGAGCTCACGTTTCCCGACCTTGGGCCGAATGACACTGCGAGTTGCGGATACAACCACACGCCGATATTGATGCATCTTGATGTCTGGCGCCTCACGGCTAGTCTTGTAAATGTGGCTGTATGTGCACAGAGCAGGCCCATGTACCCGCGAACAGAACTGGCCAAAGCAGTCCAGGCATCTGTCGTCATGGTCAATGAAAGAGGGACAAGGGGCACAGAACAAGGGCTGTTGTAGAGTATTGCGGCATATGTGCATGGTGGCAAGATGCCCCATCATAAATGTACGTGAAGATGCTGTCGAGATGGAGTCGCTTATTTGGGGCAACCGCAGTCTTTGAGCCGCTGCCTGCTAGGCAGAAGCATTTCATTCGCCTCTGATTGTCACGCGGTGACGCGAGGGCGACCATTAGAGATGTAGGGCATAAGGCTCTTGCCGAGTTCCTGTACGCTTGTGAGAACAACAATATGTTGTACACCGTGAATAGTTTAACAGAATGACGCAGCTTGATGCACACGTCCCTTTGACCTGCTTTACTAAAGGCAATAGAATAGTAGCTGTCTTACTATTACTTTTTTTGTAAGACTAGCTACTAACAGAAAACACTTTACATTCACTTGTAGTTTTTTTTATCTTCCAAGTTGGATATATACCTGGAACCTAAAAAATTCCTTCTTTCAATTGATTAAAGAGTCTTGGCTACTATATTTAACTGGAGAAGAGGCCCACCAGACGTGTCAACAGTCGTTTCTACATGGGTATTATTAAGAATCTAGTACATCTAATCGGGGCCAAGGGTGTCGCGCCGGCCGAGCGGCCACTCACTCCAGGGCCCTGACTCAGCCTCGAGCCAGGAATATAAAGTCAATACATATGTACTTAAAGGCAAATGTTGTGGACACTGTTAACAAATAGATGTTTTGAGTTTCTGGGTCAGACACGCGGCATACAGCGACGGTGCGGAGACCAACCGCCCAGTTGAAAATATTCCAGCCATCTGGCGTGTGCATGGGACTAAGCGCAAAAATGTATAGAAAATGGGTGCTCTTTTAGTTAACCGTGACTAAGTATTCAGGAACGCATATCGTATTACTTTATTCGAAATATTCGCATGACTGAAGTACCTTGATCAGCACTCCGAATCGTCACCTCTCTTTGCCATTCTGACCTCTCGTCTGACCCATGTATTTACAAGCCGGTCAGCCTTCCCATGTCAGATAGCCGGCTGTTCTTCACAGTGACACCCTTGACAACCATTGCTCAAAGTTGGTTTCGCAACGCTATTCCCATTGCTGCCTCGTTTAAAAGCCGCCTTTTGGCCCACAGCGTCGGTCGTCAAAGTCAGTAATCCGTCTCCGGGCAGTCCCTGGTGTCTGTTACTACGGTGCTACGTAGAAACTCGCGGAAAAGATCGTCTTGCTCGTCATCCACGTCTAGCAACCTTAAAGCCTCCATACTCGGCAAGAACGGCGCCTGCTGCTCCCATATCTCTATACAGGACGCCGTTTGCACCAACTCCCTTTTTACAAGGTCCAAATCCACCTCTGGGGCCATAATCTCCAAGAATTCTCTTACTCCTACTACCTGCGGCTTCCCGTCTTGGACGTCACTACCCGATCGCACAAATGCATACTCCATCCACTGACAATCCTCGGGGAAGTTTTCACGGCCCCCGCACATATTGTCCTCGGCAACCAGGTAGTTTGTGAAGGTGCGCCTGGATACAAGGACAGTCCAACCTCTGGCGAGGATTGTATCTGCTGCCTCTAGAAAGCGTTGTGGGTGAGCACAGCCTCCAATGGGCAGAGGACGGACGTCGAGTTGAGACAAGTCTGCCAGCTTGTCTGGTATGCCATGCCGGCCATGTGGAAGTCAGGATGACGCAGACAGCTTATAAATCTGGCCACAAAAGACTCTGGGCCAAGGAGCATATGGTCCATCCTGAAATACCCAAAGTCATATGTTGCCGGGTCGTAGGGACTGAGCTGTGTGCGGTAGAAGACGTTTCTAACGGGGAAGCGGTTGTACGACAGATGATAGTGCTCTGGAAACCATAATGTCTTGCATATAGCGGCCTGATACATGGCAGATAGGAAGACTGAGCCTGAAATCTCCTCCATCTTGCTCAGTAACTTGGCTAAAAAATCAACGCTTTGTCGTTGTTTAGCAAGTCTGCGGTCTCGCCCTAGTTCTGGCTTGCACATGACGTAGATATTCCCAATATTCGAGCATTGTGCGAGAGTATCTGTAAGATTAGTAGGTGTGCTGGTACCAGTACCAGTTGTATTGAGCATCTCGGCAGAAAGGCTGATTTCCTTGACTCCGCCCAGTTCCTTGGTGTCGAGGGCTGCGTCAACATCCTCGGCTGATAAGCTCGTGAAGTCGACCATGTCCAAGTGCTCGCAGCCATCAAAGGCGAGGCCACGTAGGTGGCCAAGCACGCCCGATGCACTAGAATACCTCAGCATCTCCGGTAGTATTGAGCGAAGCATCTCTTGAAAATGGTCAAGATTGCGAATGGAGCTGAATTCCCACACATCGACTTCGTCTCTCCTCAAGGCGGCATCTACTAGATGGACAATGGATCCATCCACCTCGGTCGTGAAAGGGCTATATATAGGTAACACGGAATGTAATGTCCGGGGTGTAATTGGCCCTATTACTGCCAAATGAGCTTGTTGTAGTTATGTAAAAGGAGGAGAAGGTGGAGCGCGTACCATTGAAAACACATGCGTCAACCACGGGCACCTTCTCAAGCAGTTTGAGTTCGGGACAAGTCACGTAGAATCTTTGCATGTTTTCAGCCTCTTCGTACCCGAACCTGATGATGTAGTCGGAACCCGAGAGGGCCACTCACTGTCTATCATCTTCGAGCCCCATCTTCTGCGGCCCAAAGTCAGGCCCCCAAGCATCCCAATCCAGCTCTTGGTCGTGATCTAACCACAACATGTCGTAGGCCGCAAAGGCAACAATGCCATAAACTACCCGAGTCTGATCTGTCATGTCTATGACGACCATGCCATAGGGAAGTTCTTGGTCAAAATATGCCAGACTCGGCGGCATTGCTTGCCACTGGGCAAAGAAGTTGTAGCGATAACTAGGCAGATAGCTGCTAGCTCCAAGAAGAAGACACGTTGATATGAAGGGGAAAGGACAGTACTAAAAGTCATCTCCGCTCTCCTGGAGACTAACATGGTCATCTTGCGTGGACGTCGGATGGCTTTTCGACGGATTAGGCAACTGGAAGGTGGGTTGAAGAAGATGTTCTGGATTTTGATAGAATGAATTGGCCATGTTTAGCTCGTTCTGAATCTCGCGCCGGTTATTTGGATTCAAGAAAATGGAGACGGTGCGAAGACAGGAAGAAACAAGGCCACGACCACGCCACGAGTCGTCCTGTCCTTCGGCGTGTAGCTTGCTGGGATTTTCTTCGCAGCAGACCGAGAGAGGATAGTAATGGCCGTGAATCTTACTCACGGCGTAGAATTTCCAATTCGTCGGGTTCAGCGGGCCGGAGTCTTTCTTCCAGTGCGGCGAGAAGACGGCCGCCATGATTCTTTGCACGTTTTGTGCGCCTATGAACCCGTAGATATGACAATCGTTGCGAGCGCACGTGTGCATATTGAAGAGTTAATATTAAGAAAATCAATATCCTCAATATATATTGAGAATATTGACAGGGGTTATTCAATACCGAATACATCACTGCCTATACCGTTATATACCTCGATTCCAGGAGTGGCACGCAGCTCCTAAGGCAGCCCAGATAGCCCTGTCACAATAACTATTATAAGATAACACTTATATTACCGCCTACTACTTTTATAAATACTATTTTGTATTTTAAAAGTATTATTTTAAAGCAGAAATTTAACCTAATAAACTTTTAAGGTTAATATAAGTAATAAAGCCAGGGGTCTAGCTATTATTATAGCTTATATTAATTAAGTAGTTATCTTAACTTAAATCTAGATAATAATAAGTTTTAAATATATTTTACTTATATTTAAAATATTATATATCTATTATTAACCTAAAG